TTAGAAATCGCCGGTCGGCCTGTAGAAAATGTTTTATTATGTGTTATGTTCTTTGGTTGTTTGTCTGTGGATATGCGGAAGTCAGGGCACTGAATATGACTTCGAAATAATTCGAAGTAAACAAGATATATTTAAAAATTTTGGATGTCAATCCTTTCCAACATATAGTGATGAATGTTCTTGTTACAACGCAAGATGTTTAAACGCGTCATGTGAATACTGTCGTTGTTCAGAAAGCCACAACACTTTTATGGTAACTGACTATAATCCAAACGATGGTGTTTGCAAGAGAGACGAGGAAATAGTGCCAACATCAGGTACAGTTATACTTTGTAATAGCTGAACTGCGTGTGAAACATTAACGAACTAAGATATGCAAGCCGTGCAATTTTACGCCACGCGGAACAGTAAAATAACTGGCCGATCGATACATGGCGATGGTGTGAAATCCAATTTTAATTTCTTTCACATACGTCTGACTTGGTTTATATACCAGCTGTGTGCATGTATTATTTTTTGTACTGTAGTAAACTGAACAACAGTATAGTTCCCCCCATTCCTGTCGTATAGATTGTGGTGCCCTAGAACTAAAAAAGGCCATGCATGCATTGCCATTGAAAATTGTCCTAAAAGATCTGGACGAAGCGCTTCTAAAATTTTATGGTGTTAATATGGTACGTGTTTATCATGCACTTACAATATGATAAAATGAGTTACGGCCGAATCTCAAAACAAAGAAAGATGATAAAACTTCCAAAACCCGCTCAATTAGCTCGAAGATATTGTTGCGCAGCTTCCTACTACGTTTTTCTTGACGGCCGTACACGCGAGCATTTTTCCTTGTTAAAAAACTAAATGTGATTGACCTATAATTTCTTTTCTACAGTACCGAATGAGGCATCTTGGCTAAAGAACATAATGTATAGCGAGTGTGTGAAAAGTAATTCGGCAAACAATTATATAAATGGAGGAAGATGTCCACAATCATTATCGCCATATCCTCCTGATATCCTTTGGATATTTACAGGGGGAATTACAGCTAGTGAGCAACATGAAAAACAGTTCATAATTAATGTTAAGACACTCACATGCATCGAACGTGGAAAAAAAGGTGAAAAATTGATCATTACACAGTGTGACGATAAGAAACATCAAAAAATAACTTGCATAAAAGAAAATAACTGGCCGCAAACAAAGATAAAGTTGTACAAGAATACGTTCTTGCATTTACCAAACTCCAGCGATTACGCCATCTCCAGCACCGTTAAGAAAAATGCGGCTCAATTTTGGGAGACTAGAGGAGACTCTTGCATGGAAAATACACACTATGAAGGTATGCTGAATACTTTACATTGCCCAAGATTTTCGTCGGTAGCAAAAAATACATAATTTAGCTTTAGGACGTCAGACATGAAAAAGGCGTTTTGCCGAATAGCGTGAAATCGTCCATAAATAGTCGCATCATGCAATTTTTTTCGCAATTTTCACGTCGACCTTTAACGTTTCCGTTTTCAAGTTGACTCGATCTACTTATTAACTTCTTATTAAAATATCGGACCGAGGACTTTATATATGTACAAACCAAGCCCGTCATGCACGCAGGCGAGGTTTGTACAATATGACAGAGGTGGACAAAGGGTACCGTATTTCTCAGCAAACACCGAGCAAGTTAAAAAAGTTAATTACGAGTGCACTTGGAACAAGCAAGACATTAATACATTCGTAATAGTTGCAACGCCGGAAACAATAACAAAATAATTCTTACCCAAAACTATTTACCGGTTGACACTTATTTAAGTTGAGATTTAAAAATTTCAACTGTGACCTCAGAAAACTTTGACAGTAAACTGTGCCTAAGCCCTAAACTAATAACAAATTCCATTCGGGCAAAATATTGCTTATACCAAATTAACCTGAAACTGCATACATCTTTCATACAACAAAGCTTTTAATTCTTAACTGCTATAGAGAACCTGTTTCAAGGAACCAATTGTAATGCCAATTCAAATTCCAATAACAAAAAAACCCTGAAACGTAAATTATTTTATTAAAATAGATCCTAAACTAATCCATGTACCGTGAATGCATGGCCTTCCAAAAAAACCCTGAAAAGTTAAATACGATGAAGTAATATTATTAGCTGAAAACTCGAGTGAGTGACAAGCGGGCCCCATTATATGTCGCCTGCACTGCATGATAATAATGATATACATCATTCTGTTTTAAAAAGGGTCTAAGTGTAACCTAACTGTCCTGAATATGCTGCACTTCTTTGCAAGTTCTATATGAAGATCGTCGACATAATTTATGTCGAAGACATAAACCGATCTAAACGATGCGTATATGACACTGCAAATATGTGTTTTATGTTTATTTGCATTTGTAACTATTTTTAATAGGATGTTACCGTTTTTCTGATGGCTCTTTCATGAAATACCTCGAATACAGTGTAAAGAACCTTAAACTACAAATTTCAGCTCCGATTTTCAAAGATGATGGGGATTGCGAAGTAGAGGAAACGTTTGATTACAGTCGGGATGGCTGGAACTGGGAGATCACTGACGCCGGTGGCAGCCTTTTCTCCATGCAAAACAAAAATAGTTCCACGAAAGTGTTAACGGTAAGAAGACAAGATGTGGACATGAGTGGAGACGAGTAACCCTAACACCTAAAAATAACACGTAACAGTGTAGCTTTTAAAAAACCGCATATGCAAGTAAGAATGTAACCAGGATCGCTGGATAGGCAGGAAGCGATGACAGCCAACTCAGTGACAAACCAGACCACCGTTCACTGAACGACGTTTCGAGCAATGGCATCTGTTAGTTAACAATTTTATTCGATAAAAATATGTGTACGTTTTATTGTGTGAATACAGAAGCACTACATGTGATAAATAGTTTACAATAATAGCTGCTATATAAAGACAGGAATTGAAACTGCATTTTAGGAAGACCCGAACCGAAATCCTCAGCTACAAAAATGTAATAATCTGATCACAATCTAATATATCTAATTCTAATAAAAATTGTTCACAGATTGAATCAGTGGACCTTTTTAGAAAGTGGAATGGTTCGTTGGTAAAGCTCTACATTTCCTGTCCCGAGGAATATTACTGTGTTCTTCTTAAACTGCAAACTTTATCCCGAAAACATTCGTCAGAGGTTAGTTAACTAACTGCAGCTTCCAAAATTTTCCATCCTTTCAAATTAGTAGTGGTCAACTTTGCCTTACTTTCAGATACCCCCTATATCGCCAACACACACTCCAAAATATACGGCAGACTCTGATGTTACTACACATACATATACTGACTATTCCTCGAGCAGTACAGCAGCCGCATTAACCACTAACAGGAAGGAAGACACACCCTCTGTGACCTCTACAACAGGAAACTCTAATCTTGGTCTCAGTGAAGAGTCATCTGGGGAGAAAAACTCCACTGTTGTTCCTGTTAGTGTTACTATTACACTTCTTTTAGCAGCCCTGGCAGTTGCAATAGGAGTTCTAGTCTACTACCGAAGAAGAAAAAGGTAAACTAACTAGGGGTGGAAGAAGGTAAATTCGACCGAAGCATCACTAAAATATGCAATATTTTTTTAGATATAAACTACGCATATCTCCTGCTCGTAACAAACTAAGCAGCATTCCAGATGTCGCAACACGATAGTTGGAATATTGAAATAAGCTTTGTCTTAAACTGTTGTTTTTGTAAGACTATAAAAAATTTATTTAAGACTGACTTATCATCTACGGGCAATTTAGGTAAAAAAGTTGCGCGGCGTACTTAATGTTCGTGAAGTTTGATGAAATTTGATAACAGCTGTCAAAGATCCAACAGAAAAAGCAAAGCTGCACCAGAATCAAGTCTCAAATATTTTTTTACATGTACTCCTATATTAGAGACAACGATTAACATAAAAGATGAATCATTGATTTCTGTTTCAGGGCACAAGTTCCACCGAGCAGTGCAAATAGTAAGTCCAATGGATTCTTCATAACTAAGAGATGATGCTGATGTAATAACAGCGAATTTTGAACTCGCTACTTTTAGAGTCATTACGATTTTGTTATTCATATTTTCTGCTACGCGAAACTCTTGCGACCAAGAAGATTATATTACGCTACGCTACACTCATACAACCCAAAAACGTTTTCTCTTTGCACATTTTCCCATTAAAACAACTCTTCATATGGTGTCAACGACCAATCTAAATAATTTTTTATTTCATCTATCCCAGAGCCTTCGTTTCCTCGCTAGTGGATTGCGGGCTCGGGTAACGAGATTGACCGCTTGATATGATAGAATGATAATGACTGAGAGATTAAATATCTGTCTAATTGTTCAAGAGGGTTCGCATCAACACTCCATTTCAACGATTTATTTCACTAACAAAAATATCGACATCTTACACTTAGCTAAACAACTATCGAACGGTTCTAACTAATTTTTATGTTGTTTTTCTGTTTTTTAAGGTGTTGCCTAATCGTATATGCGCATTTAAATCCTAATTAAAAACCTACTAGAACAAAGCTAATTTCCTTAAATGTTCCCTATGCTCGTTTAAATAATTGTAATATAAAATAATTGTTTTTTTCTAATATTTAAATCCTAACGTTCTTCTGAACATTCTCCCCCTCCTTTGACAGTACAATCTGGCAAAGGCGTGTCCTGTTCACTGAATTCCACCGGTGCTAACTTTGTCACGGGTCTGATAATTGTCTCTTGTCCAACCTGCACTTTTGCCACACGGACATGGCCGTCTTTTCCTGGAAGCACCTCTCTTACACGACCCAACGGCCAACGCCCTCGATTCTGGTCAGCCGAAATGGCGAGAACCAAGTCTCCTACTTTTAGATCGCGTTTTGGTTGCCACCATTTCGTTCGGATGTTAATCAATGGTAGCCATTCTTTCATCCACCGCTTCCAACAATGATTGATTAGCTCCTGGACCCTTCTCCAGCGTTTTCGTGGATTGAATTCTAGACTCTCAATGCCTTCAGGAGCAGATTTTCCTCCCGCGTGTCCATGCAGAAAGTGATTCGGGTGAGCGGCAGGAGTCCTTCGGATCAGCTGTCTGGTATGTGAGGGGCCTAGAGTTCAACGTCGCTTCGACACCAACGAATATAGTTGACAATTCTTCATCATTTACATCAGCATCTCTCAAAATTGCGTAGATTGCTTTCTTGGCCGCCTTTATCATTATCTCATGGGCTCCTCCAAAATGCGGTGCCAACGGTGGGCTAAAGGTCCACTTTACCCCGCTGTCAATCGTGGTTTCTTGTATCTTACAAGTATTCAACTGGTCCACCAACTCTTTCAATTCCCTAGCAGCTCCTATAAAGTTTGTCCCACGATCACTTACGATTTGAGACGGATAACCCCTTCGGCTCGCCATTCTGGTGAAACATCTAAGAAAGCTGTCCGTGTCAAGGCCGTACGCCATCTCTAAATGTACCGCACGAGACAAGAAACAAGTAAACAGGCAAAGCCATCGTTTTTGTCTTCGTTGTCCTCTACCTTGGACGGTGATGAAAGGGCCACCAAAATCGACCGAAACTCTGGAAAACGCCTTCAACGGTAATTGCGACCGATTTAACGGGAGTGGTGCCATAACTTGACTCGCCGCCTTCGCCTTTCGTCTTCTACATTCCCTACATTCCTTCTCCCATGATCGTATCTCTTCCCGAGCTGCCTCAATCCAATAGTCGTTACTAAGGTTTGCCAAGATATGGTTAGTACCCAAGACATGTTGCCCAATCTCATGATAATGCTTAATAATCAATCTAGTCACCCAGCTACCTCGCGGTAATATAATCGGGAAACGGACATTATATGGCAGGAATTCGGCATGGCATAGCCGACCATCGCATCGAAGTACACCGTCTTCATCAAGCTTGGGCATCAACTTGAGCAACTTGCTACGTGCTGAAATCGGCTTTCCTTCTTTGATAACGGTATACTCTTCGTAGCTTTGCTGCTGTGCGTCTCGAATTATGGAGAGCTGAGCGTCTTGGACTTCCTCCAATTTTAACGGGCCAATTACTCGGTCATTAACTGTGGTGCGGCAATTGTTCAAAAATCTCAATACCCATGACATAACATGAACAAGCCTGCGCCAGCTTGACCACCTCTCTGGATTCAATCGCCATAAAGGGCTGCTTGAAGAGATCATGGGTTGTAAGAGGCACGTCAGCGTAGACACTTTGCGATTAACATTTCCCTCGTCCAAAATTTTCTTCAACTGCCATTCTGATTCCTTTATCTGTAAAAATTGGGGACCTTGCCACCACAGTTCACTTGAGATTAATTGTGTTGAACTGCTCCCACGAGAACAGAGATCTGCGGGATTGTCCCTTGATCCGATGTACTGCCATTGCTCCGGACTGGTGTGATTTTGAATTAGACCGACTCTGTTAGCAACGAAAGACAAGAACTCCCGACCACGTCCGCGGATCCAAAGGAGCACATTCATACTATCACACCAAAATCGCGCGTCAGAAATGGAAAGGTTCAACGCTCGTTCGATAGCTAATGTCAACCGCAATCCCAAAACCGCCGCCAACAACTCAAGTCGTGGAATACTGACTGGCTTTAATGGTGCCACCCGGGTTTTCGATGCAATCATGTGGGTCCTAATCTCTCCGTTTGGATTCTCGACTCTTAGATAGCTCACCGCTCCATATGCGACTTTCGACGCATCCGCAAAGGTGTGCACTGTTGGTGATCTCTCGTTGTTCAACTCAATGCATCGGGGAATTCTCAGAGATTCGAGATCTTTTAAACCGTCCAACCAACTCTTGGCCTGGCGATACACACCATTTTCAATTGGATCGTCCCATCCAATTCCTTGCACCCATAACTCTTGAAAGATAATCTTTGCTGACACGACGAAAGGCGAAACAAACCCTAACGGGTCGAATACTTTCGACACTTGGCTTAGTAATGTTCTCTTCGTAAACTTTGGTTCCAGTACCGCTTCTACTCGGAACGAAAACACATCGTCCTCTGCCAACCATAATACACCCAGTGTTTTGATCGTATGAATATTTCCTTGGTCTAAATCGACCTTTTCTGCCCGTTTCTCACTGGGAATTCTTTCAAGAACGCGGTGGGAATTCGACACCCATTTTCGAGGATCCATTCCAGCTAAATTCCACAACTTGTTTAACTGCTCGTACAGTTCGATTGCTTCTTCATCGGTTCGAGTCGAGTCCAAAGAATCATCCATGTACGTTGATTTCTCAATGACTTCTGCTGCGAGGGGGTAAATTTCTTTGTATTGTCGAGCATTTTCTTGAGTTACATATTGCGCACGAAAAGGGGCTGACGTATCTCCAAAAACCACTCTCTCGAACTCGTACACTTCTGGACGTCTATCAGTTCCTAGATCCCTCCACAAGAACCTGAAGTACGAACGATCTTCAGTCGGGATCCGGATTTGCAGGTACATTTCACGGATATCGCATACCATGGCTACAGCATACCGACGGAATCGAAGTAATACGTCAAACAGATTACTTTGCAGCTTTGGTCCAGGTAAGATCATGTCGTTTAAGGATACTCCATGATGTTTGGCGCTGGCATCGAACACTATACGGGTCTTTGTCGTTTCTTTGTCTGGACGGCACACCGGGAAATGAGGTAAGAACCAAACCTGACCAACAGGTGACATTTCTTCGTCTTGGTTCACCTTACGAATGTATGCTTTTTCCTTATAACTTCGAATGATGTCGCTATAACTTGCCCCGAGTGACTCGGTTCTCAATAGCCGTTTCTCTGTATTCTCGAGTCGTTTGAGTGCTGTCTCATAATTGTTCGCTAGAACTGGACGGTTTCCTTTCCATGGAACTGCCACTTGGTAACGTTCTCCGACCTTGACTAACGATTCACGCAACTGAGACAACGCCCACTTTTCTTCTTGTGACATCACGCAAGGCTCCTCTTCGGGCATGACAGACTCCAATTCCCAAAATCTCTTTAACGACCGATTAAGCTCTTCAAGTGGCTGAAACTTTGCAAAGAACGTGTAGACCAGGTTCGTTCGAAGTGATTCGCAGACCAACGATTTCTCTTCTGGGTTTCCAATGCACGACCATCCCAATGGACCCAATCTCGCTATCGGTTCACCTGGTTTTCCTTTCACATCACATCTAGCATAGTGTAAATCGACTTGATCCTGCCCAATAAGAACATCCACTAACGGATCTTTTTGCCTTCGGAAAATTACACACTTCTAGGTGGGGCCAACGGTTCTGATAACCTCTCCAGTCTACCACCTTGTAGCTTCCGGTTATCTTACGCGGACACGTAAACGGTCGGAACGAAACTTGAACACTACCATCGCTACTCTCAAGAACCAAGTCCACTGGCATAGTGTCGAAAGTCTCGATATTTTCATTTAGAACCTGAACCGTAACAGGTTCATATGGAGCAGACAGTCCCAGAACCCCAGCCACTTCTTCGCTAATGTACGACGCACTGCTGGCATCATCAAGAACAGCATTAACTCGTATCTTCTGACCATTCGCTTTCAACCACACAGGTACAGTACGAAATGATCCCGCTTTGTTAGACGATTGAGACACAGCTAATGTTGCTATGTATGTCTTCTTTTCTATCCCAGTTTGCTCTTGTGACGCGGACGTATTTCCATCCTTTGGGTCTGGAATTGGCTTGAGCAATCGTTCTTTCCCATCCCGGTCGGTTTCCTGCTGATCCTTCCTCTCAGAGTCATGTAGCAGCTGATGGTGATTGCGTTTACAGCCTTCAAGACCGCAGACTCGTGTCCTTGGACAATTTCTCCCAAGATGATGATCCGAGAGGCATCGATAACACAACTGCTTTTCTTTTGCTAAGCCCAACGTGCGCCACGCTTCCGTCTTTAAACTTTGCGCAGCTCCATACTCCATGACCAATTTTGTTACAGCAAGCACAATTTCGCTGTCGACCATCTGTCACAGTAGCGAAATTACGATGCGGTCGTTTATCTCGGGATGTTTTCTTTACCGACATGCCTTCTTTGGTCTCCATTGCGTGAATCAAGAACTCTGTTTCTTCAACCAACCAGTCACTCAAGGATTCTAAAGTCTCCTCTTTAACTTTCTCATAACCAACGGAAAAATCTGGACAGCATCGACCTTGGAACCTTCTCGATTAACAACAAGTACAGCGTACTGTTCGGTCTTAATTCATTCCATTGTTTTTGCTCCTTCAACGTAACAATCGAATGCACCAGACTATCCGAAAACCTCTCAATTTCTAGAACGTCATCATCTTGAAACGACTTGGTGGCTCGAAGATTCTCCAAATGCGCTTGTATTTGTCGACGATCGCCACCAAACTTACGTACCAAAGTTCTCTTTGCCTCTTCGTAAGCTTCGTCCGAATAACCCAGCTTGGCAATTGCCTCTGCCGCATTCCCTTCAAGGCACGCTTTCAGTCTCAACATTTTGTATCTTGGTAGTGCACTTGTTTCATCCACGATTGCTGAAAATGCTGCCCAAAAACTTGCAAACTTTAATTTGTCGCCGTCGAACTTCGGTACTTGCAAACGTTCAAGATTTCGCTCAACTTCGGCTTTCGACGTAGGCACATGGTCGACGGTATTCTCACTAACTTTTTTGAACGGTTCATCACCAACCGCGCCGGGACTGTATTGTTTACTCACCATCGCGGATACATAGGACTTAACTGTCGTCGCGTCCCGATTTGTATCTCTCATTATATTTTCCAGCTCGTCTTCGGCCTTCACAGCGTTTCTTTCGTCACCCGATGTCCTATACACTGTAATCAATTCTTCGATAATATCCCACGTTTCCTGCTGTTTCGCTTCATAGGCATCGACCTCTTGCAGCAACTCTTCTGCTACACTCTTCTCGTTAGCCATCAATCGCAAAAGTTTCGTATACAGCTTCGACGTCTGCGCTTTTGCAACTCGCTTACGCTTCTTTAGCTGTTCGATCTCTGCTGTTAACAAAGATTCTTCCATACGTTTAACGGCTTCTCCTGTATTCTCAACCATTTCCTGCTACCAAAATGTTCAAGAGGGTTCGCATCAACACTCCATTTCAACGATTTATTTCACTAACAAAAATATCGACATCTTACACTTAGCTAAACAACTATCGAACGGTTCTAACTAATTTTTATGTTGTTTTTCTGTTTTTTAAGGTGTTGCCTAATCGTATATGCGCATTTAAATCCTAATTAAAAACCTACTAGAACAAAGCTAATTTCCTTAAATGTTCCCTATGCTCGTTTAAATAATTGTAATATAAAATAATTGTTTTTTTTCTAATATTTAAATCCTAACGTTCTTCTGAACACTAATCGTATTTCAGATCTTGGAGTTGTTAACTACAACAAAGAAATTTATGAAGATCCTGATCGAAACTATGAAAGGATAAAAGAGGATGCCACCAGTTCTCAAACTGTTCCCACGAATAGCGACACTGGCAGAGGGTTAATTACGAATACAATATCTCCAGATTACGAGACACTAAAAGAAAATGGGAACGAAGTATCAATCAATAGACCAAAGACTTCCTCTGGCGCCAATACCCATAAACACGGTAATAATGGCGCCAACACTGATATACCAAGAAAACCAGAAGAAACAAAGATTGCGCCTGTGAGAGGACCAGAACTGTACCACACTCTAGAACAACCGCCTTCTGATGATTTCTATAACTACATCGACAACACCAAAATCAAAAACCCGTCAGTGTCACCTGAATTAGAGTACACCTATTCCAAAGACACTGATATACCAAAAAATCTACAACAAACAAAGGTTGCACCCAAAGAACCACAACTGTACCACACTCTAGAACAACCGCCTTCTGATGATTTCTATAACTACATCGACAACACCAAAATCAAAAACCCGTCAGCGTCACCTGAATTAGAATACACCTATTCCAAGGATACTGGTATACCTAAAAATCCACAACAAACAAAAGTTGCACCCAAAGGACCTGCGGTGTACGAGACATTAGAAAATCCGTCCTCTGATGACGTTTATAACTACATTGACAACACCAACATCGCAAAGCCAGTCACATCTGAACAAGAGTATACTTATGCTACTGATACAAACTTGCCAAGAACTGGTCAAAATAGAGAGAGAGAACCTCCTGCAAGTGATGCAGTGTATCATACGTTAGAACAAGACCATCCCCTACCCTCCAGCTCTGAAATCTCGTCTGAGATGGAATACTCGTATGCGAAATCCACCGATTTACCGAGAAAGCCATCAGCTACAAATGATGACGAGTACTGTATCACTGACGTGTCGTCTATGGGTGTTCAGCAAAATAACACCGGATCATGTGCCCCTCCTACCGATAATGATCTGTATCACACACTGGAGGAACCAAACCAACCAAATGTACCTGTTTATTCAACTTTGGAAGAAGGCGATGCAGAGAACGCGTAAGTGAATAAAAATATGTAAAATTTTAGATTCCATTCCTGAAAATAGTAATCTTTTCTGAATGCACGAGCCTTTTGTACGACAGGAATATATTGTGATCCGTCAAGTTATCTGCACAGCTCCAAAGAACTACGACATATACCCGCCGAAAGTTATTAGCCACCCATATATATACGACAATAACCGAGATTGCCATGCATACATGCAGTAATTGATATAATCGGCCTATATATCTATACGATCAGTTTTATACTTACATATATTTTTTATTTTTTGAATAGATAGCGAATGATGGACCAAAATTTAACAATTCATGAATATATTGATGTTACCGATGGAAATATAAAAAACGCCAAATCACATTTTCGAAAACAATCATGCAGTTCACCATTTTATATTAAGGCTATAATCTTAGTGTTCGTTAATAATAAAACCAAATACAGTATACGTATATATATATACATGCTTAAAAAACTCATTAATATTCAATAGACGTTTTGACCAATCCAATGAACCTTTTTAAACACGTGAGTAGGCTTTTATACTCGATAAAGCACTATCAGGACACTGTTTTATATAAAGACACATGTGGCTTTACATAAAGTTCATGTTCAATCCGATTGGTCGCAACGTCTATTGAATATTAATGTCGTATTTTAAGCTATTCAAAACACTCGTAAGTCGTGTTTTATGCGCTATAAAACGCTCGGCTGCGCCTCGCGTTTTATACCGCATAAAACACTCCTACTCGTGTTTTAAATACTACATAATATACTGATACAGGCTTCTATATGGGAGCATAAAATATATTTTCATTATTTTGATATATTCAGGGTCAGTTATATAAAAGGTATAATAGTTTAAGATATATACAGGGTGTCCCAAAAAAAAAGCAACCACTTAAATATGCAGAACATTAATACAGCTCTAAAGCACAATAGATAAGCACCTCTGGGAATTGAAAATGGCTCTTAATCCTTCATTTACAATGCTAAAAGTAATTTTAGCCGAACTATGGTGCAAACCCGAACAATATATTAATATTCTTGCATATTTAAGTGGTTGCGTTTTTTTTGGGACACCCTGTATATAGTTCGAGGTACAAGTAGTGACAGAATTGACCAACCTGCATTAATAATCGTTTATATATTTCTGCAATAATTACGATTTAACAACGATAAATGTAGCTTTAACTATAATAGCCAGTTTAGAGTATACTAATTTTATTGCAACCGGCCCCATGCAAGCTTGTCTGATATTATAAAATATAAGGCCTAGCCGAGTTGACTTTTTACGGGGTGTATAGTAATACGAAAGAAAAATAATATTTTTAAACGAAAGCACACTATATGCACAAATAATTTCTAACTATACAGGGTGTCTCAAAAAAAACGCAACACTTAAATATGCAAGAACATTAAAGCCTGGTTTCCATATGACGCCGACCTGTCGCCGACTCATTGTCTGTAATGATCCAAGGAGAAAATGATTTCAGAAAGACAAAAGATTTCACTCATCAATAATCACCGACAATAATACTTTGCCGACGTCGGCGTCATATGGAAACCAGGCTTAATACAGCTCTAAAGCGCAATAGATAAGCACCTCTGGGAGTTGAAAAGGCCTCTTAATCCTTCATTTAAAATGCTAAAAGTCATTTTAGCTGAAGTATGGTGCAAACCCGAACAATATTATAATATTCTTGCATATTTAAGTGTTGCGTTTTTTTTGAGACACCCTGTATATATGAATTATTGAATAAATATAAAAGTTTGTCAAGGTTATGAAGTCAAGTCCTTTCACTTATTTAACTGCATTGATATAACCATTAAACTACACATTACTGCATGAAATTAATGTTCATATATATTCATAAATGGTACGATATGGCGTGCAAGAAAGTTGTAGTTACTAACATTAATACTTTAATAGCAGGTGAGTAACATATAATATATAGTATATATAATATATAGTATCTAGGTAACCTACGACACACCACACTCTTCCGATTGAGTGTAATATATTTTTGATGATTTAAACGAGACAAACAACCATATTGATTCATCTACACGCTTTCCTTCCGTTGGAACGGGATTAACGTCTTTCGAAGACTTTCACAGAATTTTAAATATAATTCCGGTCATGATCATTCGGAAATGCTCCGTTGTTTTTCTTAGACCTTACGTTAAATTCGAACCTACATGGCACGTCGTTACAAGCTGGTACAGGCAGCTCGATACCTTTGTAGGATATATGTTTTAAAAAGGAGTCGGTTCCTCGAGTTTCACGATCATCACTTTTTAACTGTATTTTTATCCCTTTTACATAAATTATAACATTGCTCCATAACACTGCGAGTTGTCGAGTCTCGACGTCGTGAACATTACAATTTACACTTTGTTTAAAAATAATAATGTAAACAATGCAATGACAGCCCAATTTGTCAACATAAAGGGTATATAAAAAAATGCAACCATATTCATACACGTTCGCTTCTATATTAAATAACAAAAGATCGTAGGCCCCTGGGAATCATAAGGTTTAATGTTGCGTTATTTTTAATACACACTGTATACACGCAGAATATAGTTTATGCAGTTATATGTTGTATGTAATATAGACCGATTGTTCAAACCTGCGTTTTTTTAATAATCTGAAGATGTATTAAATTGTTAATTCAGAATATATAGAAGAAGTTTACATTTGGAGATTTCTAAAATTTACAAGTAGGAATGAAAATTCTAACTGCCCAAGAATACAAAAGACCTAGCAAACTTTTAAACACCCACGAACTCATGCATATTATGGGGATATAAATGTTTTCAGAACCACGCACATATATATTTTAATGCAAAATTAGCATACACCATTTAATTATGTGTTCACAAACTCTGCAGGCAGTCGATTAAAACGAAATGTTTTCGATAAGTACAATCCGCGAATTCCTGTTTCATTTAAGGCTTTGTTTTATCGTGATACTGTAGTATTATTTAGCTTTGCGACGTTTTTACTGATCGACGTAAGAATGTTTTACTTTCTGCTATGTTCTCTGGTCGTTAATATATACGTATGCGGAAGTCAGGACATAGATGGCTTCGAACTATTTCGACGTGAACAAGACATGTTTACAAATTTGAAATGTTATTACGGTACAACTCATGGTCACGAATGTTCCCAAAAACAAAAGCTGAAAGAATCTTGTAGTAATTACAACGCAGAGTGTGTAAACTCGACGTGTGAATACTGTCGCTGTTTAGAGGGCAACAACACTTTCATATTTGAATCTGATCCAATGTGTGGAAAGTGCATAAGTGACGAGAAAATAGTACCAGAATCAGGTAATTATAAATATTGCTGAAACAGTACGTACCGAACGTAAGGGTGCACTGCTAACTGAATCAGTTGCACTGTTAACAAAGGGATCTCGATATATTGACTTCTCGACCTAACAATGAACTCTAATCAAAGATTCAAATTGTGCAATCTTGAAGGGTAATGAACATTGAAGGTTAATGAAGCGGGGCTGAGCGCCAAATATCCAAAATGTAATATACCATGCCAGTTGTGTGTTGTCAGTAAATACTTCATTTATACAAAATTATTGTATCTTGATTGATCTATTTTTATATAGCACCTGACGAAGCATTTTGGCTCAAGAACAGAATATTTAAATGTGTTAAAAGTTCGGCAAACAACTATGTCATTAAAACATATTGTTATTATTCCAACGACAGGACTTGGATAATGGTGGCTAGTTCCAGAAGTGCGCAGAAAAAGCTCTTAATTAATGTTAAGACACTTAAATGTGTTGAAAGCCAATTAGGTAGGAACAAAAGACTGACAATGGCACAGTGCTGGAAAGAATCTCATCTACAAGAAATAGAGTGCAAATCGTTTCGGCCTCGATCGTCTTCGTATCGGTATATGACGATTAAGTGGAGTGTTGGATTTCTTAATCTAAAAAGTAAATTCGAGTATGCTTTTTCAAGAAAAAAGCGGAATATAGCCTCTCATTGGTTCGATAATAACAAATATTGCGAAGAAAACATATCCTACAAAGGTATGCTGCGTCCTTTAAAAGCTTTATTGATGATTTGATGGTTTAAAAATTTGTTTTGGTTATTTGTCTACGTCGTTTACTGAGGGTCTATAACAAAAAGGGTCATTCTAAAAAAGAATGTTATGAATGAATCCCCCCCCCAATTTTATCATCATTGTTTTTTTCAAAACTGGCCTTTGCTAGCGTCAACAATTTTAGAGAAACGTAGAAACTATTATTTGTAGATATGACGTCACAATTACAGAAATCAGGAATTATTTGTAAATTTGACGCCATAATTGCAAATATCGGGAATGATTTGTAGGTGATCAAAACGGAGATCACATGCATATATAATTATAGTGAGTAATAAACGTTCTTATTTGTCATTTGAACTTTTTTAATAGGGTGTTATCGATTTTCTAATGGCTCTTTTATGAAATACCTTAACTACAGCGAAAAAAAGCCTAAATTACAAATTTCAGCACCAATTTTCAAAGAAAACGATAAAAATTGCAAAGTAGAGGACATGTTTGAATATACTCGAGATGGCTACAACTGGACAACCACTGGTGGCGGTGACAGCCTTTTCTCCATCGAAAGCGAAACTAATTCCAGCAAAGTGTTAACGGTAAGAAGAAAGGGAATGGCCTCAAGTCACATCAACAGTAATCTAGAGTTAGGAATAAAACATTAAACCTTCCACAAAAAAACTTTGCATGAGCACACACTGAGCACAATTTTAATACAAGCTTGGAGTGGCAGACAAACACGTTTCCAGTAATGAAGATATGTGCTTTTAGGCTCCTATCATGTGAATATACCAGCATTACATCAGTGTTACGATATACAGCAATAATATCCGCAAAAGACAAGGACTAAAGCTATATACTCAGCCACTAAAGAATACATTAAACTATAACTACAATCTAGCACATCTGTCGCATATTCTAAATGAAAAATTCGGTCATAGATTGAATCGATGTACTTGTTGAAACAGTGGAATGGTTCGTTGGTAAAGCTGAACGTTTCATGTCATGAGGAACAACACTGTGTTCTTCTTAAACTGCAAACTTTATTCCAAAGACATTCTTCAGAGGTCAGTTTACTACACTGCAGTTTTAAAAACTGTCCGTCCATTCGAATTAGGAATATAGTCACATCTTTTCCTATTTTCCAGGTACCTCCTATATCGTCGACTGACACTACAACGTATACAGACTATGACACCACTACACATACATATACGGATCAGTATTCCTCGAGCCATACATTAACTGATTATTCCTTGAGCAGTACAACAGCCGCATCCATCAGTGAACACACTACGGAAAAGGAAGACACACCCTCTGTGACCTCTACAACAGGAAACTCTAATCTTGGTCTCAGTGAAGAGTCATCTGGGGGGGGAAACTCCACTGTTATTCCTGTTAGTGTTACTATTACACTTCTTTTAGCAGCCCTGGCAGTGGCAATAGGAGTTTTAGTCTACTACCGAAGAAGAAAAAGGTAAACATGCCAGGGGTGTGAAGTATCAATAATACGTATGGTGTTTTACAATATTATTTTAAAAATCATGTGAAGTCAGTTCTACGCATATCCTCTGGCCTCTGCTCAAAGAAAATGAAACAACATTCCAGTCCACGACATGAAGTTGGGATATTAAATAGTCAGTTTTGCCTAGCAATTGTTTTTTTTGTAAGACCAAAAAGGTTCGAATCTGACTAATATCTACGGGCAAACTTGTTTAAAAGTTCCGCGGCGTACTTGATGTTTGTGAAGTTTGATCAAATTTAGATAGCTGCATGTAAAAGGCCGAACAGAAAAAGCTTTAAAAAACTGCCTCCAGAATTAAGGCTAAAATCTTTCTTTTTTACCCGTACTCCTATTCTTAGAGACAACCATCTATTAACATAACATAATCATTAATTTCTGTTTCAGGACACAAGTTCCGCAGAACAACGCTAACAGTAAGTCCAACTGGTGTTTTCATAATTAAGAGATGATGTTGATCAGGGAATTTTGATCTTAGAATCGTTAAGAGGTCGTTATTCATCTTTCTTCTCCGCGAGACCCTTGCAATCAAGAGAATTATGTGACAACGAATATACGCTACTATACTCACACCAAAACGTTTTTCTCCTCACATTTATACCATTATATAACAACTTTCTATACGATGTGAACGACGACCATTTCTGATTTCACTTATCCCACAGCCTCTGGTAACGAGATTGACAGCTTTATATGATAGAATGATAATGATTGAGAGATTAAATATCTGTCTAATCGTATTTCAGATCTTGGAGTTGTTAACTACAACAAAGAAATTTATGAAGATCCTGATCGAAACTATGAAGGGATAAAGGAGGATGCCACCAGTTCTCAATCTGTTCCTCGCTACAATGGCAGCGGGTTAATTACCAATAAAATATCTCCAGAGTACGAGACACTAAAAGAAAATGGTTACGAAGTATCATTCAATCGACCAGGAACTTCCTCTGGCGCCAATACCCACGTCAACACTGATATACCAAGAAAATCAGAAGAAACAAAGATGGCGCCTGTGAGAGGACCAGAACTGTACCACACTCTAGAACAACCGCCTTCTGATGATTTATATAACTACATCGACGACACCAAAATCAAAAACCCGTCAGCATCACCTGAATTAGAATACACCTATTCCAAAGACACTGATATACCCAAAAATCCACGACAAAGAAGGGTTGCACCCAAAGAACCAGAACTGTACCATACTCTAGAACAACCGCCTTCTGATGATTTCTATAACTACATCGACAACACCAAAATCAAAAACCCGTCAGCATCACCTGAATTAGAGTACACCTATTCCAAAGACACTGGTGTACCCAAAAATCCACAACAAACAAAGATTGCACCCAAAGGACCTGCGGTGTATGAGACATTAGAAAATCTGTCCTCTGATGACGTCTACAACTACATTGACAACACCAACATCGCAAAGCCAGTCACATCGGAACAAGAGTATACTTATGCTAGTGACACAAACTTGCTAAGAGCTAGTCAAAATGGAAAGAGAAAGCCTACTGCAAGTGATGCAGTTTATCATACGTTAGAACAAGACCAACCGCTACCCTCCAGCTCTGAAATCCCGTCTGAGATGGAATACTCGTATGCGAAATCCACCAATTTACCGAGAAAGCCATCAGCTACAAATGATGACGAGTACAGTTATGCGAAGAACACTGACGTATCGTCTATGGGTATTAAGCAAAATAACACCGGATCATGTGCCCCTCCTACCGATAATGATCTGTATCACACACTGGAGGAACCAAACCAACCAAATGTACCTGTTTATTCAACTTTGGAAGAAGGTGATGCAGAGAACGCGCAGGTGAATGAAAATATGTAAAATTTTATATCTCATTCCTAAAATAATGGTCTTTTCTAAAAACACTAGCCTTTTGCACGACAAGAATACATTGTCATCCGTCAAATTTATTTTATATAGAAACGATTTAGTAATTATAATTAAGTTATCGGGGACATACATATAGCTATAGTTATTACCCATATATGCATGACAATAGCCAAAATGCATGCAGTATTTGATAAAACCGTCCTATGTTGTATCAGTTTAGAAAATTTTGTTCATATATATTAATGGGACCAAAAATGAATATATGATATAGTATTGATTTTACCAGTGGAAATATAAAGGCTACGTTCAGACCGAGTGCACAGCACTGGTGCCCGTCATTTTTCAGTTCTGGCGCCCGAGTTGAACATGTCGCTTCCAAATTAAATTAGGGGTGGTGCCCAAGAACGGGAACTACCTGCAGTGGTAGTACTCAACGTGAACACTGTTTTCTGCGTGTTTTGTGAACCAGTTTTGACTTTGGGCACAGATACATGGCCAGGCACTCATATTCTGGACGCAGCCAGACCTTCTGTAGGTCTGCGGAGCATGCTCATTGTTGCATGGAACTCGCATAATGAAATACGAACGTTAATCAACTCTCTCTGGCATATATAAATTATATATGTATAATATATATATATATATTAATATATATATATATATATATATATATATATACTAATACCTTAAAATGATGATACTAAATGTTACCCTCGCAACATAATTTACACTACTTGAAGAACTTGGATTGTTTACACTTTTTACGTTCGTAACACGCGAGTGAAAAGATTTTCAAAACAAAATGATAAGGAAAAAAAGGCTCCGAGAGTTTTAAATCTTGTAGCAAACAGTTACAGCACTACGTACCATTGACACTTCTGGCAGAGTGGAAGGATTGCAACAGACCCCCCCCCCATACGGGCCAAACAATAGGCGTACCCGGTCTAAATATTTAGGGGGGAACGAACGATTTGGGAAAAATCTAGGTAAACTGTCCGGTAGGTAAACTGTTTTCACACCTTGCTTTGGTCATGAACCGGATGTGAACATGAAAACATGAGAGGAGCTCTCGCTGTCATAGTGATCGATGCTTTAGCCTGCGTAGAATAAACGAAATTAATTTTGAAGGCAAAACAAACTCTCATATATATACATTTTTCGACTACGGGTCAGTGAATTGAAATTCATACGAAAAAGGTTGAATGTAACTGATTTTTGGCAGCAAATGTGATATAACAACTGCCTAAAATAGACAAAACACTTCTCGACGTTACTAACTCGCCTAACGAAGGCCCTCAGGTCGAAACGTCGAGAAGTGTTTTGTCTATTTTAGGCAGTTGTTATACCACATTTGATGCTAAGTTGTTTGAAGACGCTGCCACGCTGCTCCCTGTTGGCAGCATTGACAGTGTAATTTGATATGATATCTGATATATGACGACGTGAATTACCAGTCGCCAGACACCACCTAATGACCCAAAGCGGTTCAAAACGCTCTCTTAACCTCAACCTTCTTGAGAAGAACCTATTCACATCAGGTATGTTTTTAATTATCAAAGCCTGTTGTCTTCACGTTAAACTATGTAGAAAGTCTTATAAAGAACAGTGATTGAGCAGCGCCTTTCATGTGGAATCATATCAATTCTACCAGCGAGCATTTCTTATATATTATTAATACGAGTGGTTAAAATCGAGTTATATTCTTGATTATATCTTTGAATTTTGAAAGCACTTCATTTACACTATAATAAGTGCAAAAAAATTCAGATTTCCACAGAATTGAATCCCCATATACAAGCAACTTTCGTCTTGACGGTCTTGTTCTGTTTGTTCCGTAAACGCCAGAGATAGGCGATCAAATTCCACAATATTTAACAGGAAATTTGATTTAGGTTTTGGCCCCACAGCAATGATGTTTGCCTGTGTATTAATTTCGAAACTCAGGTGAATTAACTGAATTCGAGTCCTACAGGCTTCTACATGATCATCAACGCCAACGGGGTTAAAGTTCTTATCGCTTATTAAGAAGATTACTGCAATTGACAACATTTTTTTATCATTTCGACGGGAATTGCTTGGATATCGGGCATGTCAGACTATTAGGCCTTTTTGACCACGGAACTTTGTAACTTGTAAGTGCACAGTTTATGGAAATGTATGCGAGTCTTTTGCAATCAGGCGATTGATTGAAGTATTTGGATGCTAAAGAGACAATATTGACAGGTTAAAAGCTTTGTGTTTAGATTTCTGACAAGGTTACTGGCTTCGAATTAATCAGAACGACATATACTGAGAACTATTCGATATCACTCTTCTTTAATTGGAAGGAGTTTTTGCCAAGTGTTATATATGAAGACCCAAAACTTCTCTTCCTGTGTGGGAAATTCGAAGATATCAAAAGAAAAGCTTTTAGCATGGCTTATCGCATTCTTCGCGTTATCCGTGAAATTATCTGACAGTCAAATCATTATGAAAACTACCATGTTTGAAATAGCAAGAAATGCCGAAGATCAGAAACGGTACGTATTGAAAGATTGTCGCAAGATGGCCGCTGGTGACATTGACTGTAAATGTAGATATCTTGGACACGAATGCCAACAGGCTGATACGACACGTTGTGAAAACTGTTTCTGTTTTAATGGTACAGAAAGAATATTTTATATCAAGAAAAGATATGGTGCATTGTGCTTAAGTGTCAACAATCTCTTTAATGCTGGTAAATATTTTTGAGTTTAGGCTTTTCGATATGTAAAGGCATTGAATTCTATATCAGTAAAATGCAAGAGAGCGTTTCTTTCTATTTTTCCCCATCCTCTCCAAACAGTTATATTTTGGAAGAATTATATATATAGCTTATATAGCTATTGACGAATACTTTTTGCTTCTTTGAACAGTTACCTATAGCTAAAACCTGTCTATCTCAACCAACGCTTTAAGCAAGAAAATCAAAAGACAGCTATAGCATGCAATGTTAAACACTTCTTGATTTGCCTAAACTCTTGAAACTTTTTTTTACATCTTAATGAATAAATATATCATTTCATTCTTAACTAAATGCGTCTCTGGATAAGATAAGGCGAAATAGGTATCGTGAAGATGCTGATTTGTCGACATACTTTATTGACAATTTTATTGACTCAAAATCTCATGATCTAAATCAAACATCATGCTAGCCTCCTCCGCAGGCATGCCTATAATGTATTAAAGTAATATTCATATTTGGCTTCGGCTGGCTGTGTCGCGGAAGAGAAAAAAAAATTGCAGAAATTTCTGATCGAATCTATTCTAGCTAAATTAGAGACGCCTGCGGGGTAAGCTACAGACATGCCTCGAACATACAAAAGCATGAAGCGCAAAAAACATATTTGCATCTAATTTGAATTGACCGCACAGCATTGCACTTCCTTAAACAAATTTCGATTTACACATAGTGAATATCCGAACGGTACGATTACCTTGAATCTGTTAATGAAAACAAAGAACATATTATTTCTTTTTCTGCAGCTGGGTTTAGCAAAAAATTCCTGATTTACAATCCTACGCCCTCAAAATGTGCACTACTGGCAAGTAATAACGGTATTCGACCTATGGACTGTGACTCTAACAATCTTCGTCAAGTGTGGCTTTGGACCCCAGGAAACTTGCTAATGAATGCTCAAACATCAACATGCCTGGGAACTAGAAAACGAAGCGGTAATTACCTTCCCATGACTACAACACAGTGCAATTCATTGAAACTAGAACAAGAATGGCTCTGTGAAGCGAGACAGTCGGTTCATCTGTTGGGATTATCGTTTTCAAATTATCCGAATATAACTCACGCGGTTAGATATCTAAGAAGCATGCCGAATCTTCTCGCGAAAAGTATAATGGAAATAGCGATCAGGGGAAATTCCTGGACTATATTTCCCACTAACAATCAAAGCGTGTGCTCCGCCAGGAACAAGGAAGGTAATCTATCGAATCAACCACAATACTTTCAATGTGTTGCTTTAATCCAGTCATTATGACTGCACTAAGGCATGCACCGAGAAATAATAAAGAGAATTTTTGTTCTTTGTGCTATATTGTTTATGTACAAAATAGTTGTCAATGATTTACTGATTCTAGGATTTTTATATTTGGATGAGGAAAACAATGAAATATCCGAGATTGATCTGGTAGCTGAATGTCCCAACATTTGTTCCAAGAAATTATCATCAACAACCCCTACCAGTAATTTATCAAACTGCACAATTTTATGGGAAGAGGGTTTTTCTCAAGATATTGAACCATTCATGGTTGAGAATCAAGAAGATGGATTATACTTCAAGGTTGGTATGGGCTAGTTTTCGTCTTTCGTTTTGAGACATCACCCTCCTGTTTGTTTTTAAATATCTTGCTGTTATAGTTTATTGCAGAATCTGCTTCCTTTACTGAATTCCCGGAATCCACATGCATGTGATATACTACATCAGCTACTATGACTTAACGATCAATTAATAATCAATTCCCTATAAGTTCCAATATAACCAAGGAGCAGCGTGACGTTTCGACAGGCCTCAGGTCGAAACGTCGAGAAGTGTTTTGTCTATTAGGCCGTTGTTATACCACATTTGATGCTATAAATTCCCTTATAAGTAATCATTTTTAACAATGATAAGTACTGATGCATATTCTCCGGTATAATCTAAAAATGTTGAGATAAATTTCCTTAAAACTTTTAGTGGAAGTCGAATCCTTATTCAAGATTAAAAGGAATGACATTGAAATTGACTATTGAATGTTTAATGAACAACAGCAATTTTAAAGAATATCTTTTCCGTTTGCGAGTGAAAGACGTCAATTTTTTAGAAGAACGAGGTAACTAAATTTTATTTAAAATCCAGAGTATAGGCATGATGATTTATTTAAAATCCACAGCATATAAGCACGATGCTGCACGAAAAATGATACGCCTGCAATAGACCTTTTTCATAATGACGTCAAACGCGGAAAGTCTGATGTTACACGAAATTTGATTGGCTCGACAGTTTTGTGGAGCCAATTAAATTTCGTGTAACATCAGACTTCCCGCGTTTGACGTCATTATAAGAAAGGTCTATTCTAACCAGATTGGAAAGTTCTTATCAAAGGCGTTTATCTGCGCCCCGCTACAGCGCTTGCATTGCTACAGAACAATGGTTTCATAAATTTGCAGAAAATCATCGTCGCAACAACATCGGGATCGTTGATTTGGGCAGAAATTGTACGAGAAATACGTGTTTGAAAAACATACCAGTTCCACTAACATTGAACAAGACAAGTGCAGCCTGCTACATTGAATGGGATGAATCAAAGGCAAAAAAAACGGACGAAAATACAACAATTGTTACCGAAAATCTCAAAGATTTGCTGTCTATTAAAAAAGTTGCAAGAAATCATTTTCTTAAGGTATATATTCATTACTTCTATATCAATCTTAAAATGTTCTGTGGAATATAGAACATACTTCCGCAATAAAAATATAGTACTACCTAAAATTTAGACAATGTTAACTTAAGAATTACTTCTCGAGGTCGTTAAAGTCTTTCTTCAGTTTTGGGAAGATCGGGGTGACGAGGTAGGGTTGTTACTGACACACATTAAGCGGTGAAGTTACCGAAGAAAAACTATATATGGTTCCCAGTTTTTTTACGGCGTTATATATTTTCTATTCCAGTGGAACCTGACCGCAGCCCCATTGCTGGCAAATATCAAATTCAACCTGACTATTCTATGTTATAACGACGAGAACAAAAACGCCACCACAGTTGAAAAAATATTTTTGGTTCTCCAGACAAGATGTAAGTATATGAATTTATAACCTGGTCCGTATGTTTATTCTGCTGTAATGCTTATACTGTATAGTTGCCTAGTCACTAATGCCTCCTTTTGTGAGCCTCTTAATTTCTGTTGTGATAAATAAAAAACCTTACTTTTTTCCTCACCTGGAGATTCTAAGAATTAATTCATCCTAGGCATCGATCACACGTGTTTTATTGCATGTGATTGGGGACTAATATATGCAGTTAAAGGACTGTATGCAATAAATCTCGCAGTGTTTCGCCAACACCAAAAAGGAGTGTAAAACATTAATTGCGTATTATGTTGAATGGAACATTTCAGTGTAACAATACACAAAGTTTAGCTCGCTAATGTTCCTATACACTTTTCGATGTAAGAAGAAAAAATACTCTACTCACACTAAATTTAAGTACAATGTGAGTTAACGCCTGTATTCTATAAAAGCTCACTCACGCTCAAACTCATTGAGTGCGAGATCTTAATTTACTTTATAGAAATTCCCTTAGGCTTAGTACACATAATTTCGTAAATACAAAATTACTCTTTTTAATGTATTTTACTGCTTTAATAACCCTGCACAGACCGATCAACAATTACTACAAAATCATCTCACGAGTATCGCCTGTACCTGGCTATCACTTTACCTATAATAATCCTGCTTGTGATCGCGCTAGCGGTTGTACTGGTGTATTGTGCCCTGCATCGTCGAAGAAAAAGGTACGCACGAGTGTCATAAATACGCCTGGAGCGAGGTAATTCGATGAAATCTATAATGATTGTCTGAATGAATATAGACATGCATGCTTGGCGATCTTCCCATTTCCCAAACAGTATATTTGGATAATTTTTCGATTATAATTTAGTAAATACATTGTTGATGCATGCATGGGAAATAAATAAGCCTTAAAGAACTTGCGCGAGTTTTTATCTCTTTCCCATAACACACATTAGCTTATTTTAACCAAGATTAGAAAATCTCTTATAATCGCAAAATTCACTAAGGTCATGATACACAATTTTTTATTTTTCATATTAAGAAAATTAAAAGAATCATTAAGTACCCGTAAGTAGAATTTCATATTTTCATATATCGCTGCATGGATTCCTCATAAATGTATATTCCATCCTCGGTCATTTTATTTCAACGCCTCGTTTTATCGCCTAATTATTATTTTGTTTTAATTCATCTCTCCAGAACATCTTCACAGCAGAATTGAACACCAAAACTCAAGCGTCAGTTTTCAATTAAACAATATCGGTATTGAAAACAAGGTACCCTTATACATTAATTCGAAAGACTGCACGTGGATGCAAATTACCGTGCATGCATGGTGTGACGGTTGTCCTCCAAGAGATTCAATTGTGGGACATAAACAAAATATAACCTGCATGTGTATTCATGAATATCAGTGAGATCACAGTTAATAGAATATGCATGGTTTAGAGACTACATAATGAGTACAATAGAACTCATTAACTATGTCGGGGAACATTTATACAAAAAATTGTTCCTTATTCGTCACGTGTCTATTGTATTTTGAACAAATAAACCAATAGTAAGGTCTGAATTAACATGTTGTTCAAGTCACGGTTGAGGAGCTAAGCCAAGCCATTGCTATTGGTTAGTTGGGCAAAAATACAATAGACATGTGACGGATAAGGAACCATTTTTTGCATAAACCTGGACAATAACATAGATAATGAGTTGTATTGTACTTCCATCTAGTCTCCAAACCATGTATATTCTAATAACTGTGGTGAGATAAAATCTATCAAATTTACGACGCGGATATGTTTTTCGTTCCAGTTTCATGACATGCAGGAATAAAAATTATAGACGTCTTTGGTAAACACTGAAAACCGGAGCAAAAAATTAAAACTGAATTCCTAACTCTAGCATCTTTTTTCATGTCACATCCGCGTAGATTTGGTGCGTCCTAAACGCGCTAATATATAACTAAAGAAACACATTTGGGTAGAATTTTTTGCACGAAACTTATCAAAATTTTTATCTCTCAAAAGTAGAATAGTGTCGCAAAACAAAACAATTTTTGCAAGAATAAGCTGGTTTTACAAAGTAGTAGCTATATTGTTTGCTCTATGACTATGTGAGCACTAAAATGCTCCTTTACCTAAATCTACTCTCTTTCTCGTTCTAGAGCGAAGATAACCCGGTTTACGAACAGTGTACGTCAGTAGCATATCCAGCAGTGACAATTGGTAAGAAAATTTTACCTGCGGTTACAAAAAATTCTCGAAAAAATCTTTTTCGTTTACGCTTGTTTCCCGCAAAATAACTTCATCAATCTCTGCATAGTCACGTAAATAGTACTAAATACTGCCATCAATACAATTTGATCTGTTTTAAAATTTTAACTCTGTATAAAATGACTACTAAAGCGACCTAAACAAGTAATAAACTGTATACTTTAGCGCATTATTATTTTTCAAATAAATTATATACATTTCAGCTCGGAACGAGTTATACGAATGCACAAAAAGTCAAAAAGCAAGAGTGGAATCTGATATTTACGAACAGCCTTTAGAAAACGTGAAAGTTCGCCAGAACAAGCTTTATGTTAGTGTTGACCCATCAAAAAATTCAGGAAGCCCTAAATTACATCCAGCATCAGGAGCTAGCCCAAAATCTAATCCATACATTGCCCCTAAGCCAGAACTTAAGCCTAAACCTGTAAATAAAGTGGCCACACCCAAACAATACAAAGTTCCCAGAGTGATCCAACCCTCTGAAGAGGAGCAAGCCGATATCTACGACCAACCGTCGGATTATATACCAAGCTCGACAGGAAACAACGAAGGCGAAATGGGCAAAATTGAAATACCCTTACAAGATGTCGGGGGTGAGAGAATCCATTCAATATACGACAAACCTTTACCGAATTCTCCTCCGAGTTCAGGCATTTACGATTATGCTTCGAGAGATGAACTGACATTTGAAGCTACTCGTTATCAGGCTGAGAAACCTTTTAGGTCCAAAAAAGAGAGGGAAACAAGTGGAAGTGTAAATTCCAATGGTTCATTGCACGACGCTCCGCATTATGATGTGTTGGAAAGGATGTAGAAGAATAGCCGTAAAAAAGGTTAAAATACAACGATTTGTTGGGGCACTCCAGATGTAAATATAGCAAATGTCACCATAGAAATATTATCAACAATCTTCAATGTTCGTCATATTCTTGAAATATCTAATAATCATTCTTGGAAACCAGAAAGAAGGATATGAGTCTTTGTATAGAATTAGTGTTAGCCTATGCCTCGTCCAAGATATAAAACAATTTACAAATTTACATGTGGCTGGGTTGATCAAAATCGCTGTATATTGTATGCTGTATGTGGGAACCAAATTTCTCGTAAATGTACCATCTCAACAGTGTCCTGACAAATCATATAACGCCTGTTTCAGACGTCGAACTTTTCATGTGCCGAACCTAATGTTAATGAGCTAAAGTCAATGTTTAAGTTCATTTGCATTCGATTCAGCACATGAAAAGTTCGACGTCTGAAACGGCCGGCCTAAGTTTAAATAGAGCCTTGTAGCGATCTCACACGGCTTTTCTCGTAATGCAAAAATAATTCTACATATGATTTCATTGGGAAGACTTACATGCATGTACGCTATAGTTGCCGCTGCATATGCGTTTAAATAACATCGTCTTTAAAGTAGACAGAAGACAGTTGTACATGCATGCATTGCATGCGTAAATTGGAAAGTTTGTATTAATTGAACGCAATTATAGTATATCTCAAACGTGCAATAATTATCTTCTATAATCAGTTGCTGGGCACCAGCCTTAAGAGGCATAGACTGTTTTGCATATAAGATCGTTAGAGTACAGTCGTTTTATACTAGAAGCAATTTTGAACGTCGTTGTATAATGTCCACTTATATCATTTCCAACCTTTAGATATGATTGAGGAAATAATTGTTATGTTTAACAAGATTTACTGCCGAATTTTATTGCCGAAATATGATTCTCCACATGAGGTTCATGTTTTCAATTTACCATAGCAGCTAATTACGTAATTAAGCGAAACATGGGCTGCTTTTCTCCTACTTTACAAACTATTACCGGCCGCCTTTTGATGTGAAGTGGATAATTATTGCAAAAAGAGATGATGGAAAAGCTCTGTACTATATATAATATGGTAAACATATCTATCATCTCTATCATTGAACCAACAATGCTTCAATTAACCTCCCTCCACGGTGTTTTAAGGAACTTCCATTACTACCCCCATCGGAAGACCTGCATGAGTACGAACTTGAGAATGCTTACGCAAATTAAAATAATCAAGCCCAATATTGGTTGAAAAAATTCTTTATTTATTGCTATGCTGACTGACACGTCTAAAACCAACAGCTAAAGTTAGTACTAAAAGGGTATGATATATCTGCCTGGGGTTAGCACTGTAGCGAAGTAGTGTTTCCTTTAAAACTCTTATTTCATCCAAAGTTATCCGATGCATTTCATTGATTTTCATTTTTCAAAGACTTCTTAAACCAGGAGTCGAAATAGTGTTACAGCGGATGCAACGTACACTTGTCGTTAAATCTTTATTGATGTTTTTAAAAAAGGAAAAGATGATTATGGCAGTCGTTGTAAAAAAGCGGAATTAATGTCGGATTCCTGGAGCCGACCGATAGCAACATGCATACATGATTTTAACAATTTTCTTTGTTGATCGACTACCGATACTTCATACTAAAGCTCCCGCTCGTAAACGAAGGTTCAAACATCATATAAACCGGAAAACTGAAAAAATTCAGTTCGGACTCCATCCATCGTGTTCTAGCGGCTTGTTGCAAAGATGGCAAGAAAATTTCGGCGTATTTTATTTGAGATTGCTCTTGTAATATCGATCTCAAGTGTATTGTCGAAACGTGTTCAGGTCTACAGATTTTCTAGAAGAGATATCTTCAATAATCCAGAATATTCTTCGCATACAGAATGTGGTACGACGACGTGCACAAAATACCAGGCAAAGTGTTTGGAAGACGGAAATTGTTGTTTCTGTCGCTGTAATTCTAAGTTTTCGACGTACAACATTTCCCGGGAAGAATGTGTATTGGACGAAGCAATATTGTCAGCCGGTAATTATTTGATTGAAATTTCAAATTTTAGACCATATTTCATTTTCGCATCTTGATGCACTGACGTATAGCTAGTTTATACACAGCCTGGTACAGGCCTGGTAAATCGTTTAAAAAAAGGATAGCCCATGCAGAATATGAGGTCGACACGCAGTCTACCATACTTGCGTTCTAGATACTAAGAGTTTAGTCCGGCTTTTTAGATCTGTTCACTGTTCACTGTATGAAGTAGGCTTTGATGGTCAGTTGACACGATCCAACTTTGTCGGATCCAGTTCGCGTCTGACGTATAAAAAGCTATACTGCACTGGATTGATTTGCTACCATACATATATATTGCATTAACATATATGCATTGCAAGCCAACAGGCTTTAATACAGCCATCACAGGTGAATTGCATGCATTGGACAAAATTGAAATCGTGTGAAAGGATACTTCAAAGATAAGAGCAATTTACCAATAAAATATTCTTTAGTGAAATCCCTTATTTATCATTATCATTTCAGTAAAATCCCTTATTTATCATTTACCATTCAACATGGTAGAACCGTACAACTATTTTAACTTTTTTTACGATCATAGACAGCGCCTTTCGTTTCGTTTGCGAGGATGAAATTCACAATAGCATACCAATGAGAACACTAGGTGCACCGAAAAACTTGGGCACTATTGTATCAAACAATGGCAGAAATTCAAAATTAAAGAAATGCCGGTTTTTAAAAAAGGAGTCATATTATTGGTCTGATAAACCGCCTGGAGCCTGGAAACCACTAATGGAGACACTCAACGACGAGATGTTTGAAATACGAGCAACAAAGAAGAACCTATCCCTAAAGGTTAACCTAAGTATCATTTTTAGTAGTCAAAATTTAGTCTCAGTAAAATACGGTAACAGCAAATATGGCGGACAAAGAGGCCGCATGCTCCGCAACATAGCTGCTGACCCTAGTATATGACTATGGCATTTAGGGTACATCTATCACGCTATCACTATTAGCTAATAATTCGTCATTCAAATTAATAATTATGTAAATTAATTCACGTATATATAGTGGGTTTATAAAAATTCTACGAAAAGTTCGTGGTTTCATGGCCGTCTTTTCCGCCTCGCTATCCAATGCAGAGAAATGACGTCGACCATTATTTTCAAGTCAAGAAAAGACTGTAAGTACGCCACAATGTATATTTTTTATATATGTAATATTTTCAGGTAAACTATTCACTGTAGAAAAGTACACACTAAAATTGATATTTCAGTAAATTGGATGCTTTGCATCTCTTTTGTTTTCCTTTAGACAACGAAGAATACTTTATTGGGTGTTTAAGTCCAAACAAAGAAGCAACCACACCAATAGTAACGTTCAACAGCAGTGGAATGACACCAAGAAAATGCAAAATGTTTTGTCAAGAACATGGACACTCTGTGGCATTGTTAAAGCATGGAGCACAATGTTTTTGCTCAGAATATAGCCACATTGTATCTTGGGAAGAAAACAAGTCTTCTTGTTCAATTCCATGCACTGGGCAAGAACAAATGTTCTGCGGTGGCAAAGAAACATACTCTTCCTATCGAATCGTACCAGGTAATTTTTGTTCTTTTGCCGTTTGTGTGTTGTTCACGTCATTGCCGTATTTATATGCTAGCTTTAATTAAGTTGTTGCAGTTGGTGGTTTTTCAGGGCAGTCGACATGACCTTGATATGCTCGCTGCTGTTATTTCTGCTGATTTCGCTAATGCTTTTGTCTTTATAATTATTAAATATTTTGTTTTTGTTAAATGCTGTTGTCGTTGCCTTTGCTATTCGGATGCTGTTAATGAGTTGTTGTTGTTGTTGCATGTCGATAAAAAAAGATTAATAAACAAGACGACATTCAAGGGGATATTAATCATTAAATAGTAATTTGTCTAAACCTTTGTAGATTAATTAAACCGTGTATCAAGTATGTGTCTATAACTCACTAAACCATTTTTCTCGTTGCACCATATAGTCCGCTTCAACGATACGAGATCGAAGGTGAGGACTGAATTTTATGGTCTAAATATATACTTGCATATTTGATTTATACATTGTCTCTATACCATTCTATTCTAATTCCTAGATATTGGTGCCCATTCAAAACGCAACATGGCCCCCTAACATGACAATATCAACGCCTACCTTCATCTCAAAGACTCGACAAACAAATGATTACATCTCACCTCATGCATCACCACATCCAGTCCCATCTCAGCGTTTAACCACTTCAACGTCTGGTTCAAGGCGTGGCTCTAAAAAAGACAAAGAACACAGCAACCATTTAATCCCACTGTATATTTTCATCGGTCTGGTGTGTATTCTGTGTGCTTTGACCGTCGGCATTTGCGTTTTGCTAAAGAAAAAAAAATTCACGAAAAAAAAATCCACGAAATGTTTTAACTCGTCTGTAGGACTTTCAAGTGAGTAATTTACTAGTCAAACCTGCTTTCTACTATTATGTTTTTCATGCCTGGGTGTAGTAAGCACGGAAACAATAGATTTATAATTTTTTGTCACAAAGTATTAATACTAAATAGAATAAAATGACGAAATTCAGTATTCAATATAACTTCACCCCAGGCAAAAATTGTTCTCATCAATAGCTATTATATCAGTGAAGCCATTAGCCATAACAAGTTGTAACAACATAATTGTGTATTTTTCATTTCAATCTGCAACAACGGTGATTTATTATCCATGACTGATTTATTATACCAGAATCATATATATATTATATGCCCCATGCAGTATATGCATTTCTTTCTTTCCAGACAGGAATTGACTGTAGCGAAAAATACTAAGCAGCAGCATGATTAGCAACCGTATGAATTAACGGTATAACCGAACTTTTGTATTTAATGTTCCTTAAACAGACCTTAACAACCTTGCCTGGCAGACGGACGCGGAAACGTCAGGTGCCAATGAATCTGGTCGGCAGATCATCATCGATTATAGGCGAAAGAGCCGAAAAGAAAGACCCCCACTTCACTACCAGCCATAAAAGACACATCATATTCCCTACAAACTCCAACTATCAATACCGAATCCCTCGTTATCCCTATTAAAACACGGTCAACTTCATCCATGAACCGAAACGCCACTAGAGCCCCTGTAACATTGGTATCCATCGCCGAAGAACCGAGCAAAACATTGAAAATGGATAGTGGAATCTATGCCGAGATACCGATGACAAGTTTTAATCATTCTTTGAAGGAATGTCAACCAGAAAATGAGCCCAATGCCAACACTGACGCAGTTCATAACAGAATGAATTCATCAGGAAATGAAACATACGACTGCATTGTCGATAACTTGTTAAATCCTGAGTGTCTATACATTGAAGTACTACCGTGAGAATACTATACGAGATTCAAACTGTCAAGAAATTATAGATGATTGAATAGATGTTTTAAATAAAAGATGTTTGAAGTTTGTAGAAACATAAAAACAGTAAAAAGTTAACTATATATAGCATAATATCAATAGCTGATTTTAGACAATCGGCTTGTTTACACTGATAGTTCTTAGCTTTTAGGTTCGTTTAGATTTTGTTGACTCTGCATAACATTTTTATAGTGAAGTTGTGGTTAATATTGCTAGAATATTGACCTTTTTTCTTTGCAAAGCCTTTTATAGAGTTTGTTACCAACTAACACTCATAAAATACGCCTGAAGACACGATTCCCAGCTGCGATATACAATATAAACACGTCATTAATCAACAACCCCACGCTACCCTGCCCCTTCCTGTTTGATTTGGCAGCTACACTACACAAATATGTCAACTCTCCGGTGTTCTATGGGCGGAGTGTTGGTCGTGTGTCGAGAGTGAAAACGATACACTGTACTGAACCTGGTAAAACTGTAAAACACACGACAATGGTTGGGGCGCACCTGAAACGCACCCGGACCCGCAACTGCACCTGAACCCGACACCTAGTTTCTAACCTGACCGCTCTCCTCGTGTTCCTTAATGTTCGGCGCTGAATATTCGATGAAAATGACACGCATGGACAGAAAATAATAAACGCCAAGAACAACTAGTGAAATCGCTTACGAAATCGCCTGTTTTGTAACGAAATTTCATTGTTAATTTTTTCAAATGTATTTGAAAATTGAAAATAAATATGAAAACTCTCAATGGGAAACTGTTTGCTATTGTTTTGTATATTTTCTCGAAAAATACCGAGAAATCAGTGGCGTAGCCAGCCACGACAATTTTGTTCCAGTGGTATGCTAATATTTTGGTGTTCATTGACTGTGAAAACAAATTTCTAATGAAATAAATGTGATAATAACGTAAAATTTGCACAGTTGGACTAAATCGTCAGGCTGGCTACGCCACTGATAAGTGAAACAATCCACTTTCTATATTAGTTTTTGGCATTCTGGGCCACGATTATCAGTATGCCAGCAAAATAAACTGTTCTTTGTTCATTTTGCATTTTTACCATTTCAATAAAATGTAACACGTGGTAATCATGGTAATCATAAAGGGATAAAGCCTAATACCTGGGGCCAGCAGTATCATGACTATCATCAAAGTTGACTCACGATCCACGACTTCTTATTATCCACGGCCCACGACACACGCTAATGGATATAATATTATGTAAATAGTATTCACTTCCGCGACTATATAAGTCAGATGGATATGTCGTGATCGTGCTGATATGAGAATATTCTAAAATTCCGTCAGACAGATTCAGATTTTATTCCGTCACACAGATTCAAGATGTTAACTGGTCGCCTTTAATGGTTCGGCAGTAAAGCGAAATACGCAAAGGTTCATTTGTGCGCTGTTTGTGTCCGCTACAGTCAATTTAATATGTATGAATGCGTATGGTTCGCGTGTATAATACGAATGTGTCTGTGGTTCGCTGTTCTTGCTAATAGTAGTACCGTCGCAGTTCCAAAGAAATTCAGCATTGACCTTCGGGAATGGAAAAGCGAATGTGAGTAAATTTATAATAGGATTTTTATAATAGCCAAGTGAACTAGTTCTTTGTGTGTCGTAATGCGAATTGTATTCAATTAACTGTTTGAGCACTTTAAATATTTTGATGTGATATCACTATTTGCAACTGATATTACGTTGTGTCACAAAATATCCTGCAGCCTGCAGGGCATAACTAATTCACCAATTAATTCACTAATTTACGCATTTAGGGTGCAGCTATGTACGTATAACGCAAACTTTTAATTGCTGAACCAATCACTTTTATAGGAATTGAAACAGAAAATTTTCACTACATTGTCGCAAAAGCAAACTGAAACATATGTATAGTGCTTTGTTTTCTGTTAATATCAATATATTGTGTATTATACTGGTTAGTGGTTACGTAATCGTGTATTTGGTCATAATTAATTAAATGCTAAATCACTTTGAACGCAGGCTCAGCCAATGTTATTTTTTATAATGTAGTTTAAAATAACCTTTAGTTTGTCGAACTCACTGTATATAGGTCAGTGGTCGAACTGGCGTTTTATCAGTAACACAATTTTGCTTTTCTTACAACGGTAATTAATCGCCATTTTAGGAGTACTGCATTTTTTGTCTGGATACGTAATAGGGGATTTTTTTTCAGTGCAATATGTCACGCACAGCGTTCTTGTAAAACGTGCTGTCATTCTCATGCATCGACTCCACGCCAAATATATATACTAAAATCTAAATATCTAGTATAGCCATAGGTCAGTGGGCTTATCCACTGTTCCGCTTGGAAATCCGCCTCAAAATCAGTTTTTCAAAAAGCATATTTTCTGCACAAAGTGAATTCAGTCTATTGTTATTTGTGTTCCAAATGGTTGCTGTTGTCGTTGAGAGTATATAGATGTATATAAAGCTATTCTATACACATATAACAACATTTCCAACGTTTTACAAAAAACTGTTTTGATCTATTTTGCATTTTTTTTGCCTCAGGTAATTGCTCGTGTTCAACTGAAATATCAAATTGTACAATAAACGAAGCCTATTCCATGAGGGGCAATCTTTGGAGGAAGCGAAACTATCCGCCAGAGTTGCTGCCAAAATCATCGCGGTTTTTATCAGTAAGTTTAGTTACAGTACATAGTTTATCAGTTATAATCTATATGACTATATGGTTGTGTTCCGATACTTCGGCCCTCATCGAATGAGGTCCTTCATCGGCAGCTTAACCAAACACAGATAAATTTATAGCTTTTTTATTGTGAAATATATGCGGTAAAAGGAGAATGCCTCTTCACCGCCAACCACAGAAAATATAACAAAACGAGACCTTTCCCCCAAGCTAGGGATAGCCAATAGAAAGCAAGCGTTCACCAAAACGGCGCGAAAAATAATAGTGAGCCAGGCCGTGGGGCCAGAACACTCCCCGTCTGGTATTTAAATAAATATCACTATTATCTATAACTATAAAAATATGATAACGTTCTTTATTAGTCCAAGAATTACTTTAGCTCATTAACAGTTTTTAATAGAACAACTTCCGTCACTGGCCTTGTGTAAGTGTGCTTTACACCGTTCTTTGTGGTGATCAAATCCAACTTTCGAACTTTTCCATCTCTTCCTTTGTAAGCTTTACTCACTTTCGCCAGGGGCCATTCATTTCGTTCCACGTCTTTCGCGCGCAATAAAACCAAGTCTCCTTCTTCTAGGCTACGTTTCTCTGCTTCCCACTTTCGTCGTGGCTGTAAGGTAGGGAGGAATTCTTTGCGCCATCTCGACCAGAAGACATTGGCTAAGTATTGTACTTGCCGCCACTGTTTATTGTGTTTACAAAGGTCGGTAACTGTAAATTCTCCGGGGAAGGCCGTGAGTGTGAGAGACTTTTGGGTAAGCAACTTGTTGGGGGTAAGAACGTCTGGCATTGCCGGATCGGTGGACACGGGGACTAAGGGACGGCCGTTGACGATGGCCATGACTTCGGCCATAAGGGTGATGAGGACTTCATGTGTAAGGTGCCTTGTGCCGAGGTCTGCTAGCATGGAATTCAAGACTTTTCTGACTACACCTATCATCCTCTCCCACACGCCTCCGATATGCGACCCATGAGGAGGATTGAAGATCCATTCACAACGTTGTTTTGCGAGATATGCGTTCACGACTTTCGTGTCCACTTCTTCCAACGGTGCATTTAATTTATTGTATGCGCCCACGAAATTGGTCCCGTTGTCAGAGCGCAGTTGAGCAGCGGGTCCTCTGATGGCGAAAAAACGGCGTAACGCATTAACAAAACTGGAGGTGTCCATACTTTCAATCACCTCGATGTGAATGGCCCTGATGGCAAGACAAGTGAAAATCACTGCCCAACGTTTGTTATTGCTGATTCCACCTCTCGTTTTCCTGGTTACCACTTGCCACGGTCCAAACACGTCTAAGCCCACGTTCGTAAATGGTGGAGCTGGCGTTACTCGTTCTGTTGGAAGGTCAGCCATCTTCTGAATTTCAAATTTCCCTCTTAGCTTCTTACACCGGATGCATTTGTAAATAACTCGATTTATGACTCGCTTTTCCCCGATCACCCAAAATCCTCGGGCTCTCACAATCCCCTGCGTGAAGTGCCGACCTTGATGCTTGATTTCTTCGTGCAGTTGCTCGACAATAAGAGTTGTGACATGTTGATGCCCGGGCAATATCACGGGGTGCTTTTCTTGGTCGGAGAGTTCTCCTTGCTCGAGACGACCGCCAACACATAAAAGTCCTCTCGTATCTATTACCGGGCTCAATTTGAGGAGGGCACTACCTTTTATTACTTTCTTTCCACTCTCGACGCATTCTATTTCGTGGTGGAAGGCGTCTTCTTGGATGCTTTTGAGGATGACAATTTCCGCTTGTCTCTGGATCTCGAGAGTATCTTTTGCCAATTTGATCGACAATGGCAGTTCCTTTTGGGGGTTTGTACGTTTTGCCCGAGCAAGTCGAAAATGCCGCACAAAGGTGATCAGGCGCATGACGGCTCGAGTCAGCCTAGCCCAGTTGGAGAACCTGCGAAATCTTTGTGTTCCTAGAGGTGTCTTCTTATTCATCGAAGTTGCTAAAGTGCGTAAATCAGGACGAACTTCGGGATCTTCGGGTAGGATTTCGGCGAGGGCTGAGCCTTTTTCCTCCGATTCTAATTGGATCTGTTTGTGAAGAAACTGCGGGCCTGTGAGCCACATCGAGCTTTCGAGGTCTTGGGCTTTTATCGGACGAGTCGCTACGTCGGCAGGATTGTGTTGAGTTGGAACGTAGCGCCACTGATCAGGAGAAGAGGACTTTCGTATCCGTTCAATCCTGTTGCTTACGTAAACGTAGAACCTTCGAGTCTGGTTGGCAATATAACCAAGGACGACTTTGCTGTCCGAGTTGTAAATTATCTGGTCTGGCTGAATGACACGTTCTTTCAGAATCGTTTCAGTAATCTCAACAGCAAGCACTGCAGCACATAACTCCAAGCGTGGAATGGTGGTTGCTTGGGTCGGAGCGAGCTTGGCTTTGCCGAGGATGAATGACACCTGTATCTGGTCGTCGTGTTGGATGATCTTTAGGTAGGCCACGGTCGCGATACATTGGGTAGATGCATCGCAGAATGTGTGCAGTTCCAGGCGTTTCGCGTCATCAAGAGAGGACGTGTAAGGGCGTGCAAGCTTCAGGTGTTCCAGTTCGACTAGAGATTTTCTCCATTCGTCCCATGCTGGTTTGAACTCTTCTGGCAACGGATCGTCCCATTCTTCCAGCTGTTTTCCTTTCAGATACTCCATCATGGATCTAAGTAAGCCTTTGCCACGAATCAACACTGGTGCTGCGATTCCAAGTGGATCGTAAAGACTGTTGATAGTTGATAACACACCCCGTTTGGTGAATGGCTTCGTTCCAACATTTACAGTAAAGGTGAACACGTCTTCCGAAATCTCCCAGGAGACACCTAAGGATCGTTGAATTGGAGCGTTGCCTTGACTCAAGTCGAGATCGCGGAGGGCTGCAGCTCGGTCACTTGGGGGGAATGCATCCATCACTTTCGGATCGTTGGAAGATATCTTATGCAGACGCAAATTCCCGGCAGCTAACATTGCTTGTGTACGTATCAACAGGTCAATGGCTTTCTGGCTGCTAGGCACGGATTTGAGTGCATCGTCCACGTAGAAATCATTTTCTATGAATTCTTTTGCATCGGATCCAAATTCCATTTCTCCAACCTGAGCTGTTCTTCGCAGACCAAACGTAGCGACGGCTGGAGAGGATGTATTCCCAAATATATGTACCTTCATTCTGTGCTCGACTATTCTGCCATCTGGGTGGTTGTTTTCATACCACAAAAATCGTAGGAAGTCTCGGTGGTCTTCTCTGACAGCAAAGGAGTAGAACATTTGTTCGATATCAGCCATGAATGCTGTGCGATACTTTCGGAAGCGTAACAAGACTCCCAAGAGGCTGTTTACCAAGTCGGGCCCGGAAAGGAGCAGCTTGTTTAAAGAAACGCCGTTGATTTCGGCTGCAGAATCGAAAACTACTCGGAGCTTTCCAGGCTTCTGGGGGTGGTAAACCCCGAAATGTGGCAGGTACCAACAAGGCTTCGAGGCTGCAATGTCTGGTGCTGGTACGGGTTCGGCGTGTCCTTTGTCGAGGAGGTCTTTCGTGAAGGCAAAATAATGTTGTTTCATCAACGGTTTTTTGTTTAGTGTCCTTTGGGTTGACTTGAGTCTCTTTAAAGCTTCTTCGCGACTTCCTGGCAGTGTCTCAACCTCATGACGGAATGGCAGCGGTGCGGTCCACTTTCCAGCTTTGTCCCTTTTCATGTTGCATTCCATTATCTCCAGAAACTTTCTGTCCTCGACCGACAATCCTGGTTTGTCGTCGTCCTCTGTGCGAGCAAAAACGTTCTCTGCTAGTCCGTCTTCAAAGCGATCATCAATGAATTTCTCTTTCCTTTCGACTGCGCGGTCATCAATCGTTCGTCTAAGATTGAAGGAATTTTGGCACGGCTCCATCATTGAGGGATGTCCATTCGATAAAACTTTCGTTCGAAATGATGACATATTTGCAGGTGCATGGGCACCATCCAGACAAACTTTGCCCAAAATCACCCAACCGAGGTCGAGCTTTTGTGCCCATGGAGAAGCACCCTTGCCATTTCGAGATTCGTGCACTTTATGTAGCTGGGGTGCATTTCTTCCGACCAGTAGGAGGATGTCGGCTTCTGGGTCGATTTCCGGGATCTTGTTGGCTATTTCTCTGAGATGAGGATGGGCTCTGCCCACAGCTGGCGTAGGGATCTCTTCTTTACTATCAGGGATCGCGTCACACTCAATTACCGAAGGGAGTAGATGTGTCTTTCGCATATCCAATGATTCGATCACCAGGTTGTTGGTGGATTGTCCTTCCAACCGGGACGTGCCTGCACACGTTTTCAGGGTGTATGGAGTTGAATCACCGCCTATGTTTAACTGCTCAAACAACTTTGGTCTTGCCAGACAGCAATTACTCTGGTCGTCGATGACGACGTACGTTTTTAACTTTGTCTTTGGGCGAGAGTTAACATAAACATTAGCCAAGCATATCTTCGAGCAGGACCGTCCGCCATACCCATTACTGCAGAGCTCGGTACATTTCGTTGAGGCTTCGGTCTCCCCGCCGTGACTTGGTTGGTCGCTACCATTCTTATCTTCGCCGCCCCGACTTTGGTTGCGTTCGAGGCTACCGTCCTTACCTTCGTCTTTGTCTTTGTCTTTTTCTGGTGGTTTTCCGGCATGCATGGCACTTACATGTTTTTCACTCTGACATTCTGAGCACTTAACGGTACAGCGGCAGTCCTTCGCAAGATGAGTTGTCGAAGCAACGCAACGATAACATATCCGGTTCTTCTTTAACAAGGTTTTTCTTTCTTCAAGAGGTTTGCTTCGGAATCCTCTACATTTGGCCAATGGGTGTGGCCTTTCATGGAGGGGGCACCATCTCATCGGGTCGTGGGTTAAAGACTTTTCGTAGTTTTCGTGTTCACCATTAACTTCAGTTCTATATGTTTGTCTTGAGCGTGGGGCGTAATGTTTTGGAGAGGGATCGTCGGGGACTTCCAGAGCGAGATTAGGGTCGTTTCTCTCCAAGGCAAGGTCTTGAACAAATCTTGAAAATTCTTTGAATGGAGGATAATCTACTTTATAGTCAGACTTATAGCGGAAAGCATGGCGTTGCCATCGTCGCTGTATATCGGCAGGCAACTTGTTGATGATTGGCCTGAGGTACATAGGCTCGTCCAGGACTTTAAGACCCTGAAGACTACCGTCCCCTTTTGCACACTCCAACTCCAACAGCAAGTCGCCGAGCTCTTGTAACTTTTTGGCATCCTTATAACCGATTTTAACAAAACCTGTGAGCCTATCAAGATAGGCCTTCGTCAATACAATACTGGTTCCGAAACGTTCGTCAAGTTTTTTCCATACTTCAACGAGACCTTTTGTCGGATTCCGGATAAAGGCACTACGCAGCTGCTGCACAAGCTTTTTTGAGGTACCGGAGGTGTGTTCGGTAATTAACGATAGTTCCTCACTTGGCGTCACGTTGACACCTCTAATCATGTTTCGAAACGATTCCTTCCAGATATGATACTTCTCTGGTTTATCGTCAAACTTTTCTGTTTTGTTAGCCACAATCTCCCGCCGTGCCATGAACTCAATGTAAGACTTCATACAATCTTGATTTGCACTAGGATTGGGATTCGCCTGAGTGGTGGGGTGATACTCGTTCGCTGCGGGATTCAAGGTTAGGGATGGTTGGGAGGCAGGGTTGACATTGGGATCAGGTTGAACCTGAACTTGAGTATGGTGATGTGGCAGGGTATTGTGAATGCTGACACCGTGGGGTTGGGTGGCATCATCGATTGGTATTGGGCTGCATTGACTGTCAAGGTACTGTTTTACCCTGTTGTTGGAGCTCTCTTCCGGCAAATCTATCTCTCGGTGTTCTGAAATACCTAGTTCGTCCTCAATGGCAGTGGCTTTGGCGACTGCGATTGCCGCTTCTTCCTCAAGACGTAGCTGCTCTAGTTGCACTTTTTCTTCCATTTTTTGTCGGGATAATGCAAATTCTTGCTCTTGAATTTCCCTCGCTAGTTGAGACTCTATTTTGGAGCGCTTCTTTTGCATTTCTGCCTTCTTGATTGCTGCAGCAGCGTCGCCTCGAGCTTGAGCACGTAACGCAGCAGAAGAAACAGAAGAGGCGCGGGAGCTTGAGGCCGAGCGTCTAGAATTCACTTCCGCTAACAGTTCGTTCTTACGACAATTTCCTTCGGCGATAACATTCTCTACGTAACTCTTATGATTGTTCATAATACTTTCTAGTTTCGTACATTCTTCGGCGCATTCCGTTGTATTTGCATAAGCTAGGAAATCTAGGTAGGATACTAGCGAGGCTTGATAATCATGAGATGCTGCACGTACCTTTGTTATTGCAGCTCGTATTTCCGCTGGCGAATCTGGAGCTGACTGTAATATCGATATGTTCTGTTGTACCTTTTCCCACAGTTTTGCCTCTTTAATTTGCTCCGTTTGCATTCGATTTTGGATCGACTTGAGTGAAGGCTTCGGTTGCCTTTTTGGTCTTCCTAGAAGACCCTGACTATCGATAATTTCCGTATTTTCTTCGCGATTCTGATTGTTTATTTCGAGTGATTGTGCTCCACTGTTTACGTGCGAATTGTTCGTATTTTGCTCTAAGACCTGTTCCAGACTGCGATTTTGTCGATTTTCCTCACTTTGTTCGACGTCGGTCTGTTTGTCCAAGTTTTCTTCGTCGACTAGACCGTCTTTGGTGTTCTCGGGGCTATTTATGGCGCTTTTATCCATACCACAAATGCGTAGTTTTCCCGTATGTTCAACGATGTCAATACGCTTCGATTATATTCCCCGTCGCCGTTCTTGCGATGTTTGTATTGTTTATCTCCTTTTACTGTTCCGATACTTCGGCCCTCATCGAATGAGGTCCTTCATCGGCAGCTTAACCAAACACAGATAAATTTATAGCTTTTTTATTGTGAAATATATGCGGTAAAAGGAGAATGCCTCTTCACCGCCAACCACAGAAAATATAACAAAACGAGACCTTTCCCCCAAGCTAGGGATAGCCAATAGAAAGCAAGCGTTCACCAAAACGGCGCGAAAAATAATAGTGAGCCAGGCCGTGGGGCCAGAACAGGTTGCTCGTTGCCGCTAGTGAGAAACGTCAGGTTAAAGGTTACTGGTGATAGAGGAACTTTGTGAGGAGTGAAAAACGCGGGGGTTCACGCCCTTCCCTTTTATGGCTTATTGGGTTTTTAAAGCACAAACTTCGTAATCGTGTTGTTTTCGCCCTCATCGGATGCATAAAGGCATAAACTAACAGCACATCCAGATAATTAGTATTGGCAACCATTTTTATATTGTCAATCAACCAATATAAAAGGAAAATGTTAATTCCGTCTGAAGGATATTCCTTGTTTATTTCTTTCCGATGATGGCCTTTGCTTTGGAGTAGGGTTTCTTAACTCAACATGTAACGATTAGAACCGTTTTTATTTCCTATACACCGCGGTGAATCAGACGGAAATGTGTGATCAATTTGTTTCTTTCCTGTTAGGCCTGTTTTCCACATCAACTGTATCGTAACGTAACGTAGCGTATTTCTTTGTTTCCGAAGTATTCGACTTGAACTGATGACTTTAAAACAATGAAATACGCTACGTTTCGCTACGATACGGTTGAAGTGGAAAACGGCCTTTAAACTAGGAAAAGTTCCCTTTTGAACACCCTCCCGAGTGTCTTCGTTGATTTGCAAATTTTTAGTTTTGCGCTTTTCAAGTTTACCCTTCATAGTTGGAGGAATAATGATGAATAGCAGTTCTGACGGTACTCAGGGTAACATTCGCATAAACCGCCTAACTGACAGTACCATTGCTTTGAAACCAATAAGGTGTCGGGGACTTAAAGCGTTCAGATATCGTGCAGGGAAGGCCACTATCGGGCATCTTTAAATCAGACATTCCGCATTCTTGAAAATCTTGTCGCGTTTCGAAGTATAGCTGCAGTGAATACTGAATTTACAATTTCGACTTCGAGCACCTAATGTAGACCTGTAAACCTACCATCTACCTTGATATTTTTATTTAGGCTATATTATTTCACCTGGGTACAACCTGGTAAATACGAGTTGTAGACGAAATACATTATCAATAATCCATAGATTCTAAATTTGTATTTCCTTTACCATATAGTGTGAACCAAACCCAGACAAATTTCGATACTTCTTATTCAACCTCAGCTGCAAAGGAGAACGTGCGTACGTTATATATAAACGGAGTGAGCTTAGTAAGTGATTAACATGCACCATTTTCTTATCCATTGCATTATATGGAGTTCATTTACCACGCATGCATAAGCCACCACCTATAACTACTGCATCTTAAAAGTTATCACAATTTTGCTCATATGCCTCCTAACCAATTCTAAAAAGGCCCAGGGTTGTCTGGATACTGAATAAGAAATCAGCTGAATGAGACTAGTCCTTATAGTCCTCTTTTACACAGTTTTGCTTTTAGCAACGGCATTTAAGTTACGCCTTTGGCAACGAACTGGGAGGAAGCAAACAATCCACAAAATGACTAGGTTGCGCGCAACAAGGCGTATAATGTAGGCTGCAGTCACACTTAGCCTTAACAGTTAACACAAGCCCAAGAAATAACTTGTTCGATATCTTTTTCTAGTCAACATACAACTTTTATCTACATCACGTCCATCAAAAAAAGTGAGAATAAAAAAAGCATTTTGAAAAATAAAATTACAATTCACGTCTTTTAACGACATTCTACTTGTTCTTGGCATCGAAATATTTATTTAGACTATTCTTCAAAAATTTAGGAAAGAGGGACTAATCGCAATCCTCCGAACAAATTAGCTATTGGTCTGTCCGTTGGTTTTGCTTTATTGGTAACTATTATCGTTTGTTGGACATGGATTCATTGTCGAAGAAGAAAAGCGAAAGAGTAAGTGTATCTAGAACTGAGCGAATTTAAGTGATTAAGACAATTGAAAGGTGGAAACAACAAATGTTTTATAATTAAAAATTATCAACCTCACATCCATTTGAATTGTCTTGACATTTCTCATACTCTCATGAGGTATTTTAATAATTATGAAAATTGTACTTTTGCTGTAGAAAATCTGATAGGAAGAATCAACATCCAGAACATGGATATATTGACGGTGAGTATCATCTGCGTAGATTTGATAAAGAAAATACAAGAAAGCATCGATGCATGACTTCATATGATCTTAAATCTTGAGTGACCATTGCAATTGTTGGGGAATTTTAAACAAAAAATGGGTCGCTCTTTGCAGAGGAAGAGGACAGTGTCCCGTACCGTATCGTGGATCTTCAGACAAATATTTCCACTGACGCCTCGGGTTATACCTTCCTTGAAGCAAAAAAGGACGAAGAGCAGCCTTACATGAAGTTAAAACCAAACTGTAGCAGAATTCATAATGAGGTATTGACAATGATGAAATAATTTTTAGGGGCTGTTCACACAGATGTATTGAAAAAAGTCTTTTTTAAACAGTCTCACTGTATATATGCTATTGTTAGGATGATAACACGACTACCAGGATCGTGTTATTTACTCATTTCAACACCTCAAAGTCCATTGTTTCGTTAAATCTCGGTAACCGGGCTCATGTGAACAGCCCCTTAGTGTATATTCGAGAGCATTTTTCATATAGCAAAAAATCTCTGATTGATCTACTGAAATAACGACCAACAAACATTGGCATCTTCATATAGGAGGGCGATATGGGAGAAACAGAAAATGGGAACCATTCCTTCGAAGGTAATGTTAGGATTATATATTATACTATCATTAATGCTTAAGGCGAAATTAAAATCTATTCGAGGCACGATAAACATCCATCAACGAAACTACCTCGTTGCGCCAGGGAGAGGACTCTTTTAGCTAATGCCCCCTCCTTAAGAGACGAGAGGCCTCAAGTCTTCTTCTTCAATGGTATATCAGCTTCGCTCGAGGAGCCTCTTTATACAGTTATTGATTTAGCGATGCCTATAGTAACAAACTTCATCACCACCGCGTCAGGAAGCGTAGTTGTGAGCGTATGAAGCGTATGAACAATCGGCGCTTTCAAATGAAATCACTAGAGCACGAGAAGAGCATGGATATTACCTAGCCTGCCCCAAATTAGGCGTTTAGCTTCGCCTTTGCATTCCATGCGAGATGATATGTGGTAATATATGTGGTGATATGTGGTGATATATGTGGTGATATGTGGTGATATGTGGTGATATGTAGTGAAATGGGAAATTGTGGATAGCGTTCCGATACTCCATTTCAGAAATCGCTGATGAACCTGTGTACTTTATGTTAGAAGGAAAAGGAAAGTCATCAAAAACGTGAAAACCTATGTGACACGAAACTTCAACCATATATACAACATAGGTTTTTGAAATTGTGTGATATATTTATAAAATTAGGGAGATTTAGTTTATTTAAATACAATAAAAGAAAGGGCACTAAACGTCAAATGTAGAAATTCATTTCCCAGTATGCGAATGAAACAAAAAGTATTACTCATTAATCTAATAAAACCAGGGAGCAGCGTGAAGTGTTTTGTCTATTTTAGGCAGTTGATGGTAAGTTCATGAACCTAATATTATTACAATCCATCATTAGTGGTAGCATTCTAACCAAATTCACATAAGTTTCATAAAAGATGATGAAAAGAACTAGCTAGTCACGGATTGAACAAGGCAACGCAGTTTTACGCAGTTCAATTAGCAGGGATTTTTTCCCTCAAAGTCAGAGTATTTAAATATTGTGAACCACGCTTTTACGGAAATGACTCAGTGGGTGTACTTGGCGAAAATGGCGCCGTACAAACTGGAGGTCACTGAGAGCACAGCCCCCTTAATTTACAGTGATGAAAAAAAAATGCCCTAAAGAACCTCACTAAAGCCTTATCCTCGCCCCTCCACCAAACTAGCTTCCACGTCCCAACATATTAATTAAAAAATGTGGCATTACGCGGAAAATGGAATTGCTTTGCGCTGCAAAGGTAAATTGATTATAACTATTAAAAATATAAAAATAACAAACATACAATAATGAAAAAAGGTAGTGACAAATATGACATAATGCCCAAATTAGACGGAGGTGTTCATCCGGTACTTACAGCTATACTCTTAAACTCTAATAGGTTTAGTTTAACAATGCCATACAGCTGCACATGCTAATTTACTTAAAGACCGAATCTAGCATATTTTATATATATAAACCTATTACCTATATATTTTAAATATATCAAATGTATCTTGAGAATGATGAACTTCGGTCGTTTCGATCTTCCTTCAGTGTTTTTAAAGATGATGACGCGTCAGCTGGTGTAAAAAACAAGTCTATCGCCAGTTTGACTTCCTTCCTTCTTTCTTTTTATATAATTATATCGCATTCCTGTCCCGTGATAAACAATTTTTAGCATCTATGATTTATTGGTTGCGAGTCAAATTCTAACCAAATGGATAAAGAAAATCTTATGAGAAATTCCTCCAGAAAAAAAATATATTAATAAAAAATATTGGCAGTCAAAAAAATACCTTTTTTAGAAGTAAGAACCATTGAGCAGTTACTACTCACTAGACTACGAATTTGTAATCACAGAGATTACCAGTAGCAACCTGGCGATAAGCGCCCTGATTTTAAACATTTTATATAACATGCATGGCTTTATGCGGTAACATGTTTACATTTTTCAACGGCTTACCACCAATAATCAATCTTTAAAATCTTTGTATATATTTTAACACATATTAAGTAAGTATAAAAGATAAAAATATTTTGAAATCTTTATCTTCCAGTATTGCTTTGACATGAGATTAAGAAGCCCGATGAGATTAATTTTGATAGGTGAAAATCGCAAGTACAATTTATTAAGGTGATTATGCATGCACCGCATGTGTGTGAACTGCGAATCGTATATGGTAGACTATGAGATTATCGTTATCTTTATCAGTAATAACATTATGGTTGTGTTGTACTATTATATGAAACAATGTATTCCATTTATCAATATCAATAATTTCGTTTCAATAAAGCTTGTTATAATTCCTCGTCGCGATGGCGTCGATAATGTAACGTGATACCGTGGATTACTCCTTGGAATATAAAAGTCTAGTATTTCACCATTTCTAGAGTGAGTATAAGCGACGGTTGGACCGAGATCAATCAATTTAAAACCGCAAGATTAATACATAGACAACACCCGGGTCAATAATGATAATGACGATGCATGGACGACACTGTACATCTTATCACAAGTGGCAATGACTGAAGACCACCAACTGAGGTTTTAGTGGTTTTCACTTAACCTGTGGCAGTGTGACTTATTAAAATAAAAACCCATCTATCTGCTTGATAGGGTCTCATTCAGAGCAAGATAAAATTGGCTATAAAACATTTTGCCGATATGGAAGATGGCCTTGAAGAACTATTTTCATATATTTTTCTATATATTTACCCCGCCTCAACTCCCTCCCCTTCTTTCGATGTTGCAACTTAATCAACCAAAGTGAACCGACATCGTTTTGTCATGTCATATTCTTTGTGGAATTAGCCATAATCCGGCTCGGGTTGCAAGCAGGCTAGTTTGGAATGAACAATGATTAAATAAGCAAGCCAGCAAAGAGAGGCACATAATGGTATGAAATGTAGGTATACTGCACAGTCTGCACTATCCATCTTATGTATCAGTCTACTGCCTGGTATCATTTATTACTACGGGTAACTGAAATTCATCCACTTTTATATAATTCTTCGAAAGCATGAGTGAGATTAAATTTTCATTAGAAGAATAGTTGATCAATACTTCATTCATTTCCTCAGAACTTTCAGTTTTTAATTTTCAAGTGTCTTAACGTCATTCCTGACTGTTTACTCGAGCACTGTAAGACTGAACGCGAAGTCGTTACAGCAACTTATCCTAATCTGCTTGTGCAATGAGCTCGTAAAAATACAAACAATTTTGTTTGTGATCAGCTAGTCTAATAAACAGGGAATTTACAGGAGTTTCAGCCATTCAGCCTTTCAGTTTCAGGCAGCTAGAACAAAGTTTCCAGACATGTCCTTTTTCTAGTCAACTATAACTCCGTCTTCTCACACTCTGCGTATGGAGTTCAAGACCCGTGGGCCGTGGACTATTGAAGGTCTATCTGAAGACTGAAGTGAATTGTAATATCAAACATATTGATTGTCTCACATTCTCCACAATGGCTTCTTAAAGGTTCAGTTAATCCATTCTCGTGGTAAACAAATCACATCACCATTATAAAGAAAGCTTTCTCTCTCAGCTACTAAAGAAAAGGTAATAAAACATGACCGCACTGGAACGTAGGAATTCACAGGAAGCTTTGTATTAATCAATAGGATTATCGAGCAATCGACAGAAAAACCTAAGGGCCTGATAAGTTTCACAATTTATTTAATTGATTTAGAATAGCCTTTAGGGAGCAGACACTGAGACACCATGCAAGATCCAGTTACCCTTGCAGCTTTGTTTATACCTTCACGAAGTAATAAGGGTAATGTCGGAGTTTGCCGACTTACCCCACCCGCGGTGTTTTAGTATAGCAATGAAGTGTTGATTGAATTCATTATTTCATTTCCTATGTGAATGATAAACCTTCACCTCGCCCTTGTAAATATTCGACATTAAACAGAATATTAGATGGACGTTGGTATAATAGTTCAGTATACTCCGCAACTGAGCGTATCGAAACAAGCTACCCCGACCAAGTTCAACTCTACGAGGAATCCACACTACACAAAGTGTGAATATTGTAGACAGATTACTCAAGCATTATATAAAGCGCATCAGGAAAATAATCGTCCAATCTGACAGTTCTGACTGAAACTGTTGTCTGGATTCATCAATTACTCGATACAACCGACATCAAAGAAAAACATCAACCTCATTCAGCCAGGTACAAATTTCTGATACACAGGAGAATCAGTACACTCTAGGTTACTTGAGTATATAAAGACATATTATATGATATATTTACCCAAACATTCGATTGCGTCAACGATGAACTGCATGTATTCATCAAGATATTTACGTCGTATGGTTGAATGTTTATTTGTCTTGGCGACTCTCCTTTGTTTGTTCGAGTACGCTCATTGCGCTAATGTCGAATATGTATGTCGAATGCAAGACGGAGATCAATTCGCGAACCCTTTTCACGCGAACGGAGGCAAGGATTGCGCAAACACGAATGCTACTTGCGTCAAATCGTGGACGCACGACTGCAGTGGATGTAAATGTAATTCAGGCACAGAAACATATCGTGCTGATATTATGAACTGCGTCTCGACGAAAGTGCTGGCTGATTTCACAGGTGAGCATACTAAATTTTAGAGAGTAAGACTGACCATATGACTTATGAGATGTGTATATGAACATGGCACACCTGACGATGCACAATATTTCTCATACCCTTTATGCGTAACATTGACATTAATTAAAAAATCCAGGGAGAATGCCTGAGCACACGGATACCCAACGATATCGTGATTAATATACCCCGACACGTTTCTACGGATACATGTTAAAATACTTCACAAATAGTGCGCGAAATATTGGATAGTAACCTAATTTGGAGTTTGCATGATTGATATTTTCCAACTGTATCAGACCATCACTATAGGTGTTTGTTTTATTTTAATTGTTATTCGGCCTTATTAATCGCTATATACTGTTAATTTTCACATTTTTTGAAGAGAAAGGACATTTGTTTACGCATTAAAAAACAATTCTCACGAGTCACGACAAGTTTTAAAAGGTCATAAATTGGATCAAGTTTATTTTAATTATTCTGGGAAGAGAAAAAAGTATTCAGTTTAAAAAGATTTGAGCCTTGAGGTCGCATAGTTTTCTTCAGAGATTTTGTAGGCTATGCGCCCAAACAAAATTTTATCTTACAAATAACGCCTTTGCTCAATTTGAAAACCTTGCCGAAGATAAAAAAAAGTTATATACACTGTCAACAGTCCATGACAAACAACACTTAATTGAAGTTCTCATATAACCAGCAACAAATCAAAGGTTTCTTTTGAAAAAGCATTATTCTTGACATTATTCTTTGCCCCTTCATAACATGCAGTAGGGCGCATCCGTTCGAATTTTTTTGCCACTTTTATTATGGTGTTACACTATATTGTTTTTGACAAGGCCGTTGCAGGAGTGCAAAAATGAAAAGCCACATTGTGGTGCACAAAATAAAAACATATTAGTTTGAACGGATTTCCGATGCCGCCTGATCAAGCCATAGATAATATGAATGTGATTTACGCTACCGGCCACGTTCAACCCGTATTACAGTCAACAATATAACAACTTAAAATATCGTTCACAAAAATGACAAAATGCCATTTCTATCCCCACATATAATGTCCATATAATTTTAATTTATATATTAAATTGTTACATTCTTTGCAATTATTGTCACAATTTAACTTCAATAAAAAACAATGCTGACTCTTCTGATATTATAAAGAAATCCCCCACGCTGACATAATTTTAGAAATGACGGAGCTTCCTTATTTACGAGAATGTTAATGACATTAGGAATTTTTCATCCTTCTTTAAGAAAAATATTGGCCCCCAGAACTAATGCGTTACACCGGGCTCCGTAACGTAATGGAGTTCCTGTCCCACTCAATGTTTGGTTGAGCCTGAAGGATACCGCTTAAAAACTGCGTAATTGACTATTTTTAAAAACAAAGAACACACCCACACAAAATCCTGGTATCATGTACTATCAACTATGAATCAACCAAATGGTTTTGTTGAGATTTAATTTTGGAGATAACAAAGCGCATTTTGTTGCGGGTGATTCAAACCGAACTGACATTGCAGCCAGGATCAAAATTGCTGTGTAATCGCTATTCATTAGGCTTTGTTTACACAGTGGTTTACAAGATCCCGCTTTGCCAGATTCACCTGAGTGTGAAATTTTTGGTATTGAAATATTATGATTCTGGCGTTGTGGACAAAAGCATGATTGTGTTTGTTTGGTTCATTTGGCGAGCATTAATGAATTTGGTCTTCTTCGTTAATCTGATAGTGATAGAACAGAACCGCAGAAAACAATAGGGGAAAACGGCGTTGACAGCGTTGTGCTCCAGTGCCATGCGAGCAAATTAGGAATGCCTTAATGGCTTGCTTATTCCTAATTTTCAAAATCGCGTTCCTTTCTCTGTGCCTAGTTTATACGTCGCATTGTGCCACCAAAATTTTAGTCGGCAGACTGCAATCGGAATGTATCAGAACAGCGCGTCATGTGCGCCTGGCTTATAGTGATAACTATATACTGACTATAGTGATAACCACTGATAGTGGTTCCTTATGGATGCTCCTGTTTGCCCGTCCGTGTTTATGGACTAACGATTTATTAAACAATTTGTAAGCAGCAGAATCTTTTTTCCAAAGTTCGTCCTAGCAAATAATCCGTACAAATCAGCCAAAGTTGGTGCGATATTTCACCCGGAGCCCGAGGTGTTGAATAATTCGTCAGGCTTTGTTTGAATATTTAACAAGTGCAAGGGCAAAATTGACTTATTATTAGTCCAACTGAAACCTAAAATGGCAGGCTTTTTGTAGGATATTTATATTGTAGACAAATTAAATGAGACTGCTTTGCATTAGTCAACACATATAAACACGTAAAAACAGATATAAACAATCTAACCATACTGTACGCAAATATACTCACACATTACTGGATATCGTTGATTTCTGCTGTGTTCCGAAGGAATACTGGAATAGCTTTTAAATTCAATGATACAATCATATAAGTGATATAACTTTAGTGCATGTTATAACAAGCACGTTCGATTGCCAGTTAATTTCATCCATTTTACTTTTCAAATATAATATTGAACTACGATTGGTAGAATAAGATCACGTGAATAAATCATGTTGTACAGACCCCCCCCCAATAGCCAAATGTTTTTCCGCTGGGAATAGTATGCGTATAAATCATCAGCAAGTGTGCATGTAATTAAAATGTCAAATAGATTTTGTATTTAGAAAAATTGCTCATAAGTCATAACATCGCATCAGTCAGCCAAAGGCTGGGTCCGCCCCTGGTATTCACCCAGGACCTTCCTTGGGCGAGCAATTCATATTTTTATGTTCCATGCATACTAACAGTATTTGTTACAACAAATTCATTCAAAAGAAATCAGCCAGGTATGAGACGAGTATGCATGAATATGTACACAAATGACGAATTTAATTAAATGGCTCTTTTTATACGGATGGTTCGCGACTTATATTTTCCAAAATGGCCCTATTCTCGAACGGGAATAATAGAGGGGATAATTTGTGATGTCATAGGGTACGGTCAGAGCGCTGCAGAAACTAGACGATGAATTAGGGGGTTGGTTTATGTATTAGTTCTGTTCCCGTCTCGGTCGTCTGTTTTTTTTTCGTCCGATTTCTATATACGGTATGTGATTTGTTTAATATGTCCATGCAACTCTTCTCATAGACAATGATTATCATCGCTTCTCACGAAGTTAAAAAAACTCTCTAAAGACTGAACTCTGTCTCATGAAAACTATTCTAAAACAAGACCGGAACGGCAGGAAAGTCTCCATTGTGTTTAACTATATTTCAGCAAAGCCGCTCGATCTGTGAGTGAAATACATTCTAAAAGACAAACCCAAATCAGCCCGGATTGCGGATGATACCCCCTAGAACGGCCTCTGGATAAAGATTCAGTGAATGTAGCCTCCTCCGCAGGCATTTCTTATCTACAGTGAATGTGTTATACATACATATTTGCTCCAATCACCTCGCCATCGTTTAACAATCAATTCTCGTGCTTATATAATTTAGGCTGTGGTGGCAAGGGCATAAGGGACGATGATCCACAGCTCACAGATAAAACACTTCCGACGTTAGATTTCACGAAAAGTGGAACTAAAAATATTCGTGGCCTTTTACGCATCCATCATGGTATACCGGTTAATGATATAACGTGTAAAATCAAGAACAATACAAGTTTCCTTAGCGATGATGGCAACTGGATAGCACTACCTAACATGAGTAATATACTGACTATTACGCCAAACGAGGGACGTGACACCGATCCAGCTCACCTCACAATGGAAGTAAGAAAATTTTACATTGTCGTTGCCTTGCGTTTTCAACAGTCACACTGAATCAACTCATCAAATTATTTTGTCATACCTTTGGCTTTGCTTTCTAACAAACAAAGAAATGATGCAGAAATAATCAGTAACCTGGTAAAAATAAGACAGACCACTATATTATCACTTCCTGCCCACTAATTTTTTATATCTTCGCATGTTCATTTGTAGTGGGAAGAAGTCAACGGTTTCCTGTCTGGACTTTTATTGAAGCTACAAATTTCTTGCCACACGAAAACAGACCCCCCTGAAAATGGCTGCTTTGTATTTAAAATTAAAGATTGTAAAAATTATGGTAAGTGGATATTTCTCTCTGGTACTCTCTCATCTTTTGGTATACACTTCTAACGAACCATCTGCAATGTCGAGATGAAATCCACAAAGCTATTATATGCTCTAAAGCCCCGTTTACACTACACTCAATTTATTGGCACGGCACGGCTAAAATGGGCACCCGTACCCATTTCATCTGTACTCGGCCTTTGTTTTGGTTGCCTGAACACTAATAAAATTGGGTACGGGTGCCCATTTTAGCCGTGCCGTGCCGAGAAATTGAGTGTAGTGTAAACGGGGCTTAAGCTATCATCTCCTTGATTTAAATTTGAACATGTTTCCAAACGTTGGTATAGTCGAAATGTAAGTTATGGAGGTTAATTGTCTAAAGGTCAGTTATCTTTTTTTTTGAGAAAGAGCTTTCCCAAATCATTGTTCTAGCTAAACACTTTCAGTTAAGACAAATACAAAGGGTAGTGTGGTGCCCCGTATTCGTTCCTACCTTCCTTCCCAGTTTTTGGTCCATGCACTGATGACAAGGCGTTTTAATTAAACATAATAAAACTGTTCCCCGAAAGCCAAACGTAATTCTGTTAATCCCTTTTTAAGATCCATCTTCAAAGATTATTTCAAGCACAAAAGCACCCACAATTCATACAGCAAAAGAAGTTAATAGGGAAACTACTAAATCAGAGGTACTGTTTACCTTGTCTTTGTGAGTGTATTTGTCCTGCCCCAGCCCTCAAAAAAAAGGTCCTAATTCTGAAATTTTGTAGAAACCCCCCACAATGGTCTCAACGACAGTCGTCAATAGCACGAAGGAGAGCGTAGTTAATAAGAACTACACGTACAGTGTTTCAATGCCTGTGATCATCGGTATTTCTGCTGGTGTTGGCCTGGTCATCTTGCTCATCATTATCTTGGCTGTATGCTTTGTTCGTCACAGAATCAGGTACGCGCGTACATTGCTGTTCAACTCGAGAACTCTTAGGTCGAAGAAACTCCTGGTCCTGGCCTGGTAGCCTCGTTTTAGTGTTACGGCTTATTTTACATTTATTTGTCAGGTTAAGAATTCTTTTTCATGCATGTGTTGATGTACGACATGATGTGTGCTCGTGCTCATGCTAAACACAGACTGTTTTCAGTTTTTAAGCTCGCCCAGACGTCACTACAAAGAAATCATGCTTTACCTATGATATTACTCTGCATTATAGGAAGCACGAGAAAGAAAAACCATCCATTGCTAACCCTGATGCTCCAATAAAAGGTGATGATTTACCCTCGAACCGTTTACCCTACGGCCTACCCTTTAAAACAATCAATTTGGAAGAAAAATTAAAGTACAAGGCACGAATATATGAGCATGTCTTTCTTTGTCCCCCAATTATCGTACTTGGTACGCCACTGAGTAGAGGTGCAAGAATACTGTGCGGCAAACAGTTTTCATCAAAACCGAGAGTGAATAAATATTTAATTATAATATTTTGTTTAGTTCATTTCACGGCAGAGACAAGATTCAGTCTAATTCAAGAAGCTGCGCCAGTGAATACTGATGATGAAGATTATACTAGTTTAAAAGAAGACAGAGAAAGTTACGAGCCTTATTATTCACTGAAAAAAGATGATGTTGATTTGGTAAGGGTCTAAGGAATACACTACACTATATGCACTCTACTACATCACACCACACCACACCACATCACACCACATCACATCACGACGTCACATCATACCACACCATGCCACACCACATCACACAACATCACACCACTTCACACCACACCACACCACAACACAACACAACACATGCACCACACTACGCTAACCCACGTTACATTACAAAACACTACATCACGCATAGTTCTGCATGTTACATACAGTTTTCTGAGTATTCCACATGTATAAAACCTTGCTACATAATTTAAACGGGTCCTATCAAATAATTTCTCAATTTCTTTTCCAGAATGTTATTGACACAATTCTGAGGGATGCAGTCTCGATGGGTATAGATTTTAGTCCTATTCATTCCTTCTGGCTTTCAAAAGAAGGCCTGCTTATCATAATCTACTAATCTATTCTCTCAATGGAGTCATGCGGTCGGTTGTTCAAAAGCCGGTTAGCTTAACCCTGGATTAACTCAAATTTTTACATCAGTTTTTTTAATCGCTTGGTTATGCAGTTGAACATGTTTTCCCATAAATATTTTGTGGATAAATAGAAGTCTTATTTTGCAAAGTCTTGAAGCGAACAGCGGTGCAGAAGCATATAAACCAAAACAGCGGAGTAAAATTTAACCCAGGGTTAGGCTGTTAGCGCTAAGCTAGCTTTGTTAGCCCCAGTGACCACTTGTCCAATGCCATTGATTATGCTTATTTTTACTCACGGACTTAACACAAAATAGTTTCTTATCCGTTCATTTTCCACTCGTATTCTTTACGTATTTAGAATGCATGAGTCCTTCTGCGGAGCCAAGATACAATTGCCATTTAACAAAGGATGATGCAATCGTGATAGAAAGCTCAAGACCTCGTTCACCTAAGCAACCGAATTACCACGTGCTTGAGGAACCTGGCGATGACATCGATCCTGATTACGAAGAAGTGGATGATGACGATGACATTATGACGTCACAGCGATTGCTCCCTACCAAGCCACCCCTCCCTGACCACGAATATCATCAGTTAGAGCCACCTCTGTCGAGATTACACTCTGATTGTTAACGTAGTAAATGTGTATTCACGCCCGTTGCCTCAAAAAGTCTCGATCACGAAGTCGCGACGACCCTATATCCTAGTGTAGTATAGTATGGTATAGTATCTCCCATCCCTGGGCCGGTTGTTTGAAAGGCCATTAGTCTAACCGCGCTTTCCTTTATACGGTAAAAACGGCCAGACCGCGGTCCTGCTGTGTTTCAGTATAGACGGACTACTGGTATTACAGTGTTTTGAGAAATCTGCACTCATTTATATCAATATTTACATCCGCCTACCACGAGAAAATAGTAGGAATTGAACTGTATAAGAAACTACAAAGGGTACATTGTTTCCACGTTAATTTCATAATTTCTCGTAAAAAAAAATTCCGATGAATTCCAAGGAATTAAATTTCGATTTTCATATTACATTTTGCTTACAAGTCCCATTATGGCCTTTACCTTGAAATATCTCTTTGTTCGAGTCACGGTGGCCAGGAAACAAATAAAATAAGAAATTCAGCATTTTTAGTGGTTTTGAGGGTGACAGTATTGATAAGAATTTTCTACCTGGTATGTATATACATCATATGGTGTATATATGCAGCATATAGCCACGGATTTTATCAATACTTGGCACTTTCGGAATTATTTTGACTTATAACATACGAATCTATCCAATTTTAATCAATTTTATATCAATTAATTTTTATATCAATTTCAGTACTCAAATGTGCATGCGCATGCGCAAGGACCAGCGTGCTGAGCAAGTGCTCAACATTATAATATTAGAAACCTTTAAAATAATCTGTCAAATTTCGATTTATAATATGAAATTTTGGGTTATCCACCGTTTCGAACAACCGGTCCCTAATCGCTAATAAAGGTTAGCAAGAGAATCATAGGACCCGTCCTTTATGGCTTTATTACATTCTTACCGAAAAAAAAATCTTTGCAAAAGAATTAATTAACAAATTTTAAAAATGAGTATATAAAGCATACATATCATGTAATCATGCGAAAATATATCATTCAACTATATTATAAAGTATATATATATATCATTCATTAATAATACTCCAAAAGCTCGTATCAAGGTAGAACGTCTTCTTTTGACACACATCCGTTGTACATTTTATAAATTCTGCTTTTCAAATTTCCGTGTTTTCCATTAAAGCGAAACGCCGCGGCGAGGTACGGAAACCCTCGGAAGGTGAACGGCTGCAAATCGTAGGCGCCCACAGTCAAGATTCCTTGGAATTTAGTAAATCGACCGTTTTTGAATTTGTACACCATGGAATGAGCTCGGAAGTGTGTGATTTCGTCAAAATAATTCGCAACAGTGAGATACACTGTGTCATCGACATAGAAGTGATGAGCCTTAAAGCAAAGCAAAAAAAACACATGCAACAGTTTATTTAGATATATTAAGGAAGATAAGTGCCAGAATAGCTTTTAATGATACTGGATTCCATCTATGTTTAGACGTTTCTGACTTTCAGTGTTAGTTTTAATGAAACTGAAAACCAATTTAACGAACTGAAACAAAGCGTTAGTTTAGCTACGTTTGTTTTGGATGATTTAGCGAATAGTATTCGGGGAAACACAGCTAAGCGGTCACTTTGCATACATTTATTACAGTCTCGAAATAAACTGTGGTTACTAAGCAAACAAGCACTTGGTTAACTATATTTTAACCAGAAATATCATAATACGTTATTGGATTCGATTCCTTCAGAAAAGCAAACATCACAAATACCTTTATAGCTGCAGTTGTCTCCAGTTCCTGAAACAAAACGAATGCAGTTCCATTCCATCGAAACACATTTGTCTCAGAATGCCAGGAGCGCGCTGTGCGATGACTTGCCAAGACTAAAAACAGCCCGGCATCATTTTCGAATAAATCAGCACAAATAGCTGCCGATGTTTTTACATTCTGCACAGAGACGAAATGGCGTCCGTTCCATTGATACACCACCGACTCAGCGTCGAATCCGTCGTTGACAGAGTAATAATTTGCAAAAGCCAAGAACATCTGTCCTGCTTTGCTTCGGTAAAATTTACAGTCGACTGCACCGTGCGTTGCCAATTTTTGAAAGATCTCGGGTTTCCCTTGGTTCCATTTATAAACCACCGAAAATATTGACACACTCGAGTCATTTCTATAGTTTGCAAACACGAGGTAACTCTCTCCATTTATTTCGAAGAATTGCGACGCAGTTGCGCCTTGTGTTTCGATGTTGGTGTGATTCACGAACCTCGTACCGTTCCACCTGTATATCACTGAGGTCAATACATATGATTTCCCGTTATAGTGATTCGCAGCTACTAGGTACGAGTTTCCTTGATCGGAAACGTACGTCAACGAGCGGCAGCCAATCGTAGGTAGCGTTTGAAGCATTTCAAATTTCTCTGTGGTTGAGTTCATCTTGTAGATAAATGAGGCTGTATTGTAACCATCTGCTGCTAAATAGTGATTTGCAACTGCGAGGAATGTACTATCTTTTATGTTATATATTTCCATCTTCACCGCTCCTTTGGTTTCGACTTCGTCATGAACGTGAAATATCAGTCGTTTCTGGCAGTCCTGATCAGTAGCTGGCGTGCCCGAAGATAAAGAAGACACGGTGGAAGTGAAAGTTGGTTCTGGAGTGGATGGATTTTCATAGCTATTGTCGTTTCTGGAAAGGGGTTCTTCTGGGGACGGAATTAGGTTATACGTGGTCTGGGGAATAAGGATATCTTGGAAAATATAGAATATACTGTTGAACACAGCTCAGTATCTCGACCTTGGTCATGTAATTTATTCGCTAAGCTATTCTCTCATTGGGCGAGTGTTGCTATTATCAAAATGTCTTGATATCTCTATTAGTTCATTGGGTGGTATTATGCGAGGAATCAGTCAGCTTGTGGTATTGAGTGCGATCAGTTATTATGTCGCAACAAAACTTTTGCTCTACATAAATTAATATTTACCAGAATCTAAAAGGTTCTTCGCTGCTAAAATCCTGAACAGCTGTTGCGATTGTTCTTTGCTCGCTTTCATTTCTTCTTTCATTTCCTCGGCTGCCTCGATCATCAACTGATTTTTTGAGTCAAGCTCGCGAATACGTTTCTCTAACTCAAACACCTGAGTAAAAAAGCAAATATTTAAGCACCTAATTGTTTGTGCAATACTGTCAATACTGTTATTTGATTATAAAGCATGTGTTTTCACTGTTGTGTCTGAGAAGGATGAGAATACTTCATAAAATGAATATTGAGTTTCAGCAATAAATTCTGACAACGTTAACCCACCGACCTGGTCTTAGATCTATAAACACTACTTCAGGGTATCCTTGTTCATCATGTTTTAGGATAACTACAGTAACTCCTTCAAAACCTACCTTATTTAGAGACCAATAAACGGTACAATCTCGACCATCCCTTCCTGGCCTACCTGGACGACCTGTGACTCCTGGGGGACCTGGTACACCTATATATATTGAGAAAATACTGTAGAAACTGAAAGGATAATCGAAAAAGAGGTTGATATTTGTGGACATATGTAAATAATTTGCAAGTTTATTATATCCTCACATGTCAACTATCAAGTTCTTATTTGGGGAATATTGAATATAGAATAGTCGAATATGTAGTAAGTCTACGCACTGAGTAAGTACAAGAATTGCTAATTGCTGATAATAAACGAATGTTTTTCCGTATTTTTATAATTTCCTACAACTATATGTTAACCCTGAGTAATCTTCGTGTTGACGATTTACTCACCATCACGCCCATCCCTGACAACACAATTTTCTCCCAAATTTGTTCTATCGATCACCTAAAAAAAATACGGTTGATAGTTATTTGAGAACAAGTATTTAATGAAGCACTGGAAGATGAGCGATTGTTCCAATTATAGGCTCAACTATATAGAACAGCAATGCTTCTAGCTATTATGAATTCAGCATAGGTTTCCTTACTCCATTTACTGAACGACAGACTGAATTAATTGGCCTAAATGGCCTGTTGTAAGAAGGGGAAAAACTTAGAAGCCGGATTCAATTAGTGGCCTTCGCCTCACCACAGAGATTCTCACACTAGGTCAAGGCATAGTGGTGCTCGCTTGATTAACCTCAGCATGCTATAGCCATGCTTCATTAAATCATGTCACTTGATTCTTTCTTTATTTATTTGAGCTCGTGACTAAGGCAAGCCGAAAAAATGAATTAACTATTGCATGTTCTTTTATGTATTCAGTCAATTATCGAAAATCAAATCTGTTGAAGATTTTCGGGCATCAAGCTTGGCAAAATATAAAATACTGAGCTCAATGGAAATATGGGCCGATACCGTAAACATGATTACCAACTTCGTTGTTTAATAATCTGTGAAGACGGCATTTTCGAATCATAACATGTAGTAAAATAGTCCTTGAAATAACTAGCTATATCGATTTAGATTTTAATACACTGACAATAAGTTCTTTATAACAAATTTTAGAAATGTAGTTGGACATGAATTGATAAGGTGATTTGCATGAACAATAGAAATTAAGAGTACTGACGCCATAATTGATCGATCTCTTTACCACATTGACACATGAGAATATATTCAAAGGATATTTCGGCCGCAATGAATTAATTACAATGCATTACAAATTCAAAATGTATAGCTCTGATAATAATGTTTTCTGAAAATGAATTGCATGGTATTGTCAACTATGGTATTGTTATAATCAATCACTATATATATCAACTAATGAACTCAGCTTGGAAATCAGATAACAAAAGGAATGCATTAGGTTTCTCGCTAATCAGGAATTAACATGGTTAGAAAAGTCGGCGAACTTCAAAAATCGTATACACGTAGACTTCAATTGATCTTTTGTTAAATGAATTAAATCTTTCGTCACATGATTGAAGACAAAATGCTTTTCTTGTTTGATATATGATAATTATATAGCTACTGCGAAAATGTGGCTGTGAACGTCCAAGTTCCAAAAGCATGAAACTAACAAACAAGAGCAATGAGAGTTGACTGGGATGTGTGCATGAGCACTTTCGTCGTTGCCACACTGAATATATAGTGTATAGACTGGAAAACAATGTTAATAAAGAACATTTTACTACGACAACAAAGTACTTGATTCAGTTGATTGGAATACCATTTATATTTGTCCTAGAGCGTCGCATATCATAGCTATCTGCAGGTTTTCAGCAATTTTGTGCTACAGTCTTTATGGAAGACGCGAACTGTAGCTACCAGGATCGCGATGTATTCAGCTACCACAATCATGCACCGTAATTCCTCTGCCAGAAAAATCCTAACTTGTTTTGAACGTTCCACTTTTAAAGGTGTTTAAACTTGCAAGGTCTTGCTCCTTTAGTCCTTTTCAAGTTATGTAAATATGCATTTGATGATTTGTGCAATGCTTTGAACAACTGTTCTAACGTCACAATCACGGCATTAATAATGAGAAAACCATGCATGATTCGTATTTGAATTTTTATTATTAATGAATTATTTTACCTAAATTTTATGATCTTATCAGGTGTTTACGGCAGGCATATAGATTCTCAAAGCAAGACTAAATAAATACACAACCTCAAGTGAACACAATGAGTACTAAAATTTCAGTTTTAGTTGCTCAAAAATTATGTAATAAAAAGTAAATGTATACATATACCTCTTTTGTGAATACTGGGAAAAGCAGCATTGATTGAAAAATAAAACACAAAATGCTTCTCCTTTGGCTTTGATTCCGTACCATTTTCCAATATTATTTATAATACTTATTAGTTCCTCAAAACAATTTTTTCGAACTGAGATTAAGTGCGTATGTTTCTCTTGCGCTTGCACAAGTGAATCTAGTCGAGTTTCTGAGTCAAGCAGCGTTTAAGAAGCCAACATACAACACAATTATTACGCCATTATACGCAGTTTGCGCAAGAGTTGGTTAACAGACGAATTATCACAGTTGGATCTTGACAAATGTGTAAATCACCTAAATTGTACATAGGATAGTGTTGAATGAGGAACATGCTGAAAAAGGATCTAAATGCCTGAGTGTATTGAGATTAAAAATGATTGAGACAGAAAATAGGCAAAACACACAGTGCATGGCTCCTGATTGAAATATCGAATTTTGCAGAACATATTAAGAGATATCCGTCACTAAAAATAACTTCAGTTCTCAAACGAAAATCGTCCAGTTCACAACGATTTAGATGTCCCATCTAGTACTTCATGATATGTCTACATATATACAGTGATGATGTTTCAATATCTTTCCTTTTCGCAATACGTCAATGCGTCATGTTTACATGATCGTTCATGTCATTAATTGTTTATATATTTTTCAGATAGACTACTTTCATCAACATACACATAACACGTCTATTTTGAATTATCTAATGCACAATGCACTCTTATATCGAAACAACTATTATTCCCCTCACTGTTGAAGCTTTTGTTAAAATCCAGGATTACGGATATAACTGAGTACGTACATTTTACTAGAATACGTGCAGGGCGAAAGGTAATTTTCTGTGTTTTTTTGAAATTTCATGTCATTCGGTTTCATTCGTGAACAGTGGCCGCCATCTCTTCGTAGATTAAAGAATGTAGAAAGCCTAGTTACTAGTAGTTCGTGAATATTCCTTTCTGTTTTGGAATACGTTAATATATATATATATATAATATGTTATCAACATGTTAAGATATAGAGATGAAAACATTAAGCAATTTAAGTTTAATGAAGGGTATCTTCAACTATACGAGAAGGAATTTCTCTTATCATTATTGGACAGTGATGAAATTTCTGTATTAGGATTTACCCCCTACAATTGTTTTCACGCTATGCCTGCAGTACTGCTGTCTTCACTGTCACAGATGAAAGTGTTGTTAACAAGAACCACACATGCAGTTTGTTAAGTGTTTTTAATCATCGATTTTCTGTTGGGCTTACATGACTTAGTCTAGTTCAATGTTATCTTGGTGTTTATTTTATGCATTAAGGTGATGTAAGGCCAAGGCACGCGAAGAATGACATTACAATGAGCTCACAAGAATTAAAATATCGTTGGCTATTCGCTTTTTTTCGTCTTTAATTAATGTGAGAACTGCAGTTTTTAATTTGAGCGGTACTACAGCTGCCGCTATATCTATATCTCATTAATTGACCAGCACGAAACAGCAGTCATGGAAAGCCAACAAACCTAGACACATGTATTCCCGCATGTATTCATATATCAACACACAGACGAATCCTGTATTAGGACGGAAACGAATTCGAATGCTATAGCTATGTGTGTGCTCACACTTGTGAACTATCATGCCAGACTATGGACTTTAGCATGCAGCTAGTCAGACAAACCAGTCCTCTGAATAACATAAATCACTGACTTTCCATTATGAATTCACTCGTTAAATTTCGCATTTTTTTTTCGCAAGATTTATTTTACATGATTTATTATCGGCACGCCCCTGCACAGGCAAACTTTAAGCGCATGATTCCAGGTAAAATCACAGCACGAATTCATCAACAAAGAATTTATTGATCAGTCTGATATAATCCTATTTCTAATCTTAGCCATAACAGGTTTTTACCCCTTTTTATATAAAGTACTTTGCATATATACAGTAGTTATGGCAAATTTCACAAGCGAGTATGTGAAATAGTACATATAACACACTAACAATTACATATGATATATATCATAAAGCATATAGTTCATTTGAGGTGCAAAGCTGAAATTAGGGTAAAACGTTTTTCACGCATCCTTTGTGCATTTTATAAATTTTACTTCTCAGATTTCCTCGCACGCCATTGAAGCGGAAAGCAGCGGCGAGGTACGAAACACCTCGGTGAGTAAACGGCTGTAGATCGTATGCGCCCGTCGTCGGGATTCTTTGGAATTTACCAAAACGACCGTCTTTGAATCTGTAGATCATGGAATGTGTTTCGAAGCTTGTGATGACATCAAAATATTTCGCAATGGTGAGATACATTATGCCATCGGCAACGAAGTGATTAACCTTGAAAACACAGCAAGGAATCAAGTTATGGGCGTCCGACCCTAATCAATCCATACATTTTTGGGTCCGGTTGTATAAAAAGGAAGTTACCAACAAACTCAGGGTCGTGTACTTATTAAAGTACGATTTAATCACTACAAAAATATGGGTGCTTGCTAAACTATAGCAGAGGTGGGCGCGGTGCATATGGGCGTAGGAACCCAGGACACTGGAGGTACCACATTCTCCCCCCCCCAATTTCATCTTTTCACGCCCCTCGCCTAATAGTATCTAGTTTCAACAAATACCTTTATAGCTGCAGTTGTTTGCAGTTTCTGAAACAAGGCAAACTCAGTTCCATTCCATCGAAACACATTTGTCTCAGAATGCCAGGAACGCTTACTGCGATGACTCGCGAACACTAAAAACAATCCGTCGTTATTTTCAAATAAATCAACACTTATAGCCGCCGATGTTCTTAAACTCTGTGCAAAGACGAAACGGCGTCCGTTCCATTGATACACCACCGACTTAACCTTGAATCCGTCGTTGATAGAGTAATAATTGGCGAAGACTAAGAGAATCCGTCCTGCTTTGCTTCGAAAGAATTTACAGTCGACTGCACCGTGCGTTGGTATTTTTTGAAAAATCTCAAGGTTTCCTCGGTTCCATCTATACACCACCGAAAATATTGACACACTCGTGTCATTTCTATAGTTTGCAAACACGAGGTAACTCTCTCCGTTTATTTCGAAGAACTCCGACGCGGATGCACCTTGTGTTTCAATGTTGGTGTAGTTCACAAACCTATGACCGTTCCACCTGTAAATGGCCGAGTCCAGCACATGTGTTCTTCCGTTATAGTGATTCGCGGCTACTAGGTACGAGTTTCCTTGACTGGATACATACGTTATTGAACGGCAGCCAATCGTAGGTAGCGTTTGAAGCTTTTCGAATTTCTCTGAGGTTGAGTTCATCTTGTAGATAAATGAGGCTGTATTGTAACCATCCGGAACTGCATGGAAATTTGCTGCTGCGAGAAAAGTGCTTTGTCCTATGGTGAATATCTCCATGTTCACTGCTCCCCTAGTTTTTACGCGGTCATGGACATGAAATGCTAGTCGTGTTTTGCACTTCTGATTACGGACAGGGGTGTCAGTAGGTGTGAGGGTTGGTTCTGGGGTTGATAGAATAGAGCCAATCCGTGCATGGTGTCTTATTGGGGATACTGCCGGAAGAAGGTTGTTTTCGTGCCCAAGGATATCTTGAAAATGATTGAAAATACAGTTTAGCGTATACTAAAGCCTAATGTGTCCCACCAATTCTGATTTATTAGTCTGTGATGCAGATCCGCGGTAAATGACGGAAAGTAATGTGAACACAATGTATGCCGCATAAGCATCGATAATGCATGCATGAGTATAACTCGATCATAATACTTGGCGTGTGTAGAAAATGCGCAGCAAATGAATGGTCTGTTCAGCTTTACAGTGGTTAGAGAGCTGCCCTAAAAATTGCAGGCTGGCTCGCATGCAGGTGTAAGTTAGAGAATTTGCGCAGAAACTGTAGTTACAATTCTTGCATTTATTTACTAAGGGATGAATCGTGTCGAAATGAAAATTTTGCTTTGCAAAAAATTGCCCACTCACCAGGTTCTAAAATTTTCTTTGCTGCCAATACTTGAAACAACTGCTGTGCTTGTTGTTTGCTGGCTACCAGTTCTTCTTTCATCTCCTGTGCGTTTGTTTCGATGAACTGATATTTTGAGTTCAACTCGCTGAGACGTTTTTCCAGCTCAAAAACCTGATGAGCAAAAATTAACAGTATATAGCGTGAGGGTGGGAAACGGGGTAGTTACCCAGGGAGCCCAGGATAAAAATGTGATGAAGTTTTGATAGAGAGGTGGTGTAATAAAAGTGAATGTGCTCCGCCTTAAAAACGGGCACCACCACATGTCACAGTCTCACAACGAAGGAATCAAGAGCGAAACACTGTCCCTGTTCCGTTCAAACAAACGTGGCCAAAACTATATTTATGATAGGGAAATATAGACAAAATACTATATGATTGGGAAAAGAAAATTTTTGTTGTTTTTCAAAAGTGTGATATGGTTATAGTTTCATATGCCGGTTATAGTTTTGAAATAAAAAGGAAAATGAAGAGAAGAAAGAGAAAATTCGCACGATCGAAATATTCACTTTGTTGCGGCATGCCATTGCCTACAAACGTGAGACTTACGCCTGTATTCAAAAAGCTCACTCACACTCACACTCTCTGAGTGTGACATAGAAATTTTGTTATTGCTGATCAACGAGGAAGTTTTTTCTTAATCAGTGGAAAGATTTAAGGTAAAACATTGAAAATCAAGCAATTGTTTAACTGAAAATACCGCCTTGGAAAAGTTATGAGAAGATTAAGATCTCCCACTCAATGAGTTTGAGTGTGAGTGAGCTTTTAGAATACAGGCGTTAAACTCGCCAATCCTGCTAGGCCAGAGTATTCTTTCATTGCAGTAGGTTGTAAAATACTTTATTAGCGAATAGTTCCTATACATTATAAATTATACAGATACTTGGCTGACTCTTTGTATTTTATTTTCTTAACTATCTCTGTACCTTATCCAGTGACCAGTTGGCAGTACAATCTCGACCATCTCTTCCTGGGGGGCCTGGATGACCTGGTATTCCGGGGGGACCTCTGACACCTACACAATGAAAAGCGGAAGAATAAAATTTAAACCCCAAACGTAAAGCTAAAGTAATTGTCGTTTTCCGTCAGTTCCGTGATTTAATAATACACAATTTACCAACCATCTCGTCCATCTCTGACAACACAGTTGCCTTGCAATCTTGTTCTACCAATCACCTAGACAAGGTAATATTCAGTTAATTTTTTACAGGAACAGCAGTGGAACAGTTTGGAAAAAAAATTGTGCTAAACTACTCAGTTACAACAGAAGCAGAGACGTCTGGCTATTGTTATTCAGACATGGACGCTAAGAACCTAAGTAGAAAAAAGATGCTGCCGGTTCAAATTATACAGTTGCTTACCATTCATAGTGACATCAGTTTGTCAAACTGGCGACTTTGCGAAAATATATTTTCTCTATACGTATTTGATATTTCGCAACCAAACTGTGTAAGATAGATCTTACTCATTTCGATTCGATCAAAAACTCATGCAATACTAAAGTCTTATTCTACTATGACCATGGATCAATTAATGAGGGCCCCATGCCAGTTGACGTGCACAAGCTGCGCTCCGTTCTGATACCGTAGCATACCAAACTACCACAAGTATACAACTAATAAGTACAAGATTATTGCTTTAATGAATGATGTAATAAAAAGTAACAATATACCTTTTGTGAGAACAGTGGTAAAAACAGCAGAGATTGGAGGACGCAACAAATCATGTTTCGCCTTAAAATCTGCACCATTTTCTCAGTTTTTCTTATCTTCTTTAAAATATTGTTTCTTCAACCGAGATTAAACGGCTGTGTTTCTCTCCTGTGCGTGCAGGTAAAACTGGTCCAGTTTAATGAATCACGCAGCTTTAATAAGCAGTGGGGACCAATACGATTATTAATCGGCTTTGAATTGTTGGCATACAAGACCGTTAACTGATCAATTATCACAGTTGAATCTTGACAAATGTGCAAATTATGGGAATTGCACTTCGAAAAGAGTTGAGTGAAACACATGCATGCCAAAGCATATATAAGTACTTAAACGCAAGTGAAAGATAGAGTTAGAAAGATGGTAAAACATATGGACTTCTACTTATCACATATCACATGCCATTTAATTTTTTTTTTCGGACTATATAGCGTTAAAGGACTGTTTCCGAAATAATCTGACCTACCGGACTGATTTAAGTCACGAAAATCTTCCCTATCCCGTGAACTATAAAATTTAAAAATATGAATCGTCTTACACGGCAGGTTTTGCATTCATCGTCCCTTCATCATCCAAAACTTTGTAAAGCCACCGTAATATGCGAGATAAGATACATAAAAAGCAAGGCAAATTTATTTGAATGGCTGTCACGCTTCCCAAAAAACTATCTCCTGGATCTAGTCAACTATCACCAGCGCCGTTTTAGAGCATATAGATGACAGATAAATATTAAGTCAGAGATGGCATGTTGTTTTTGTTGAAGATTTAGGAACATTCAGGGATCAAAAATATTCCCGGACACTCACTTCACACGCAAGTTAGTAAAAAAATCCATACCTTTCCATTGAATCTTTTCGTCGTAATACGTTCAGGATATTAATTTAATGCAGGATACTCATTACAAAACTAAGTTGCCTAAGTAAAACATCTTTGAAACTAAGAACTAGATTTTAGTCGAAATCATTCATACTTTTATATTTCGCTTCATTTGTCTGGACTGAAAAATTATCTTGTTCACCACAACGCTGTACGTACCTGAATTAAATCGTGTTATATATTTTTATATTTACCACGACGAAAGACCACGAAACACCTGGCGACGAGAGCTTAAAAAGGATATTGCGAGGACTTGACACAAATGGAAACAACTTGAAGGGATAGCACAAGACACAGAATAACGAGTTATTGCTGGTCACTTGGTGTCCTGTGCTCCGGGGGGGGGGCTAAGGGCCAAAGCCAACTAGAAGATGATGAAAATACACCGTAGTAAATGATACAACGAGTACTCAGTCTGTACTTTCGAGGAACCTCGAACTCTTTTGTCTGTGGGATTATGGTAATTTTATTGGCTTTGCCTTTGGAATTGGTCGAGTTTAGTGAGTTTCCTGGATGTGAAGAATACTCGGCTTTGATGTGATCTTGTTAGCTGGAGGATTGAAGGAACGTTATGGGATAATACTTCTGATAATATGTTATAATTCTTCCGCTAATGTAAAATTTTTCTTGACTTCTTGGGCACAAAAAACTAAGTCGTGCATACAAAAACACCAATAAGCCGAAAGGCCGGAAAAGCTTTTAGGTGTTAAATTCGTCATCGAAAATGATCGAGCCGCCTAACAGCCTGTAATGTAAACAAACTCTTTGTTTACATTTTGAACCGTTTCCCAAATATAATGTCTCTTCAGAATGTTTAATACCTTTTGGATTTTGGTTTTCTTAAGATGGAGTTTACGTCATTCAAAATTCTTAAATCATCAGTCTCTGGCTTAATTATGAAAAAAACTGTTGGGCGAAACCGCTGCAACATCTCTATTAACTCTCCTGTACAGGCTACAGCCATTTGTATTAAGTATTAGATACACAGCCAATATAGTAAATTTACGAAGATGGTAAATGGTAGGTAGATGGTAGGTAGATAAACACATTCACATCTGCATGCGGTTTAATTAAAGCACAAAAATTGAAAAACGTTTTCTTCTATCATAACATTATACTCTGTTCATTTGTAACATACATGGGAACCACACTTTAATTAAACTCGTAGCAATTAGGCCTGCATTGAAGCTCACATGTTCCGGCGATCTTAACTTTTCCATATAGACATAATTTATTGACATGTTTGACTGTTTTTGACTGACTATTTCAACTTCGACCCCAGTCTCATTACCATAACCGGAATTCAAAATGGCCGCTTACTCAGAGGTTTTTCATAAACAGTGCTATAAACCATAAAACAAAGGTTTGTGAAGTCATTTTTGGTTGTCAAGCAATTTTTTGTACTCCGTTTCTTCTTATTTTTCTTTATATGCTAATTTTTAACCTCAGTTTTATTTGTATCATCGGGTGAATTATGAATATTTCTAAAATTTAAATTTTATTTATTGTAATTTTATTTAATTGTAATCGTTGGTTGTTGTTGGTTGGTTTAATATGGTTGTCAGGTTTCTACATTAATAAATCTCTTTTGACAGCTTGATGTTGTTATAATGGATTTTCTACAAGCTGAAATTGAGAGAAAAGCAAAGCAGTTGAAACAGAATGAAGTTACTACTGTATGTTTTATTGTAATTTGTAAAACTGTACAATATATCATAAATTAATATATTTTAAAACTACCTGGACATTCTGCACCAGAGATCTTGTTAAAAATCAACTAACCTTTGGTAATTTTGTATTATGGTCTTCCTTACAAATTCCTGAATCAGTCAGTTCCCAACAAGATTTTGGGTGCAGAAAAACTATAAAGTGAATGCATAGCCAGGATAGTTTGGGTCAGTTTGAAGGGACTTGTTCTGTTTTGAGGGATGGTCAGTACATGTAGGCAGCACACTTATGCAACACCTAGAGGCAATAGCTTGAAAAAATCCATTATTATGTAGCTAATACGCACATAATGCAATAACGGTCACAAATGACAAAGTATCATATGATTTAAGAACTTAATACTTTTTAAATTCTCTCTTTGAAGTTAAAGTCTTTCTATAGGGGTAAATGATTCCTTAGTTTTTATAACAATGGTTGTGTAGTTTTATCGACCTCATTTATTGCAGTTGTTACGGTGCATGATATGCAGTGATTCAATTGATTGCAATTTTTATAGTGTTTACATTCTTTTCAATTATTATAATTACAGGCCCTACCTAATTTTAAAATTACCCTTGTTTTATATTTTGCTGTCCTAAAACATGACCCAGACAATTAGCTAACAGACCCAAATTTAGGTATCAAGTATGAAACTTTTGCAAGTGACATTATAGTTTATACTTTTTGCCTTCTGTCATTTTTCTTGGCACAAACCATGGAATGTAACTGAGAGTGTCTCAAGGATTTGTTTTAATCTGTTAAATAAAAGGCTCATGCCACCCAAGATGGTGGATTACTTTTGTGATACTTACCCCCTCAAAAATCAAAAATCAATAAAAAAACATTAGTCCGGCTCTCATACACAAATTCCCATCCACCCATGCAAAAACATCAAAAACACCATAACTTGTGAAATGAATTACAGTAGTTGATTGAAGGTTTATGAAATAAAACTAAAAAACAAGTTTTATGAGGTACATACACTATACACATCCTTGCACTTGTCTCTCACTCCTACATTTTTGGCACAGCCCCCAAATTTTCAGCATGCTCTAAGATCACACTTACAATAAAAAATAGGATTATGAAAAAGATTGATCATGTGTAAAATTATTTGCTAGTTGCATTTGCAGAGTGGGAGGCAAAGAATACCACTGTTATTTTGCCATACTTTTAACACATTTGTTAATAGAGTAATAATGACACGAGAACCTCAACTTATAAACAAAGGCATTTCTAGAAGTTGAAGCATCAAAAGTTGTTTTGTCGACTGTTTGAAGTTTTTTTATTATTTATGTATGGGTAGTCTATAATCACAGAGTGTTACAGGCATGCAAGTTTTATTGGTGTCTAGTCATGCAGTGTATAGGAACAGTGCCTGCTGAAGGCTGACTTATGTATATTTACTATGTGTCTCATATTTTTTCAAAGGAGAAAAAATATTTCCGTCGAGGGGATTTGGAAAAGCAGAAAGCAGATGAGTACAAGAGAAAGCAAGAGGTTGGTTTTCATTTGTCAACATAATATAGCCTCTTTGATAAGTAGATTCCGTTTGTGGGGCTCTTCAGATAAGAATCACAGGATATTCAGGTCAGATTGTGTGATAATCCCATGTCTGGTAATCTGATAGAGGAACTAGTATCCGTTCTTACTGTACCTAATAAAGGTTCAAATAAAGATTATTTTTATTATGATATGAACATGGGAGTATCTAACAGATTTTTCACTTTAAATGTTGCTTGAGATGCGAGCAATATGGAAAAAAAATGGACTGAAATTTGTGAGCCAGGCTTTTGCAGATATGACTGCACTGAGTATACAGTTGTTGCTTCTCTGGTCAATGATCGAAAATACTCTGCTAGTTTTGTACATTTCAAAGTTCAAGCCTTAAAACGTTAAATGTGTAAAATATTAGAAATGTATAGTCATCAAATTTTGAAACTTAGAAAATCTTCTCAGGGAGAAGAGTTAAGCAGGAAGACGAGCATCATAACGAGATTATTCCAACCTTCATTGTGATGATGCTACTCATGAGTGTTTTGCACGATTACTATCTAAGCTTCAATCAACTTCAAAATATCAATTTGAAGTGCCCGTCGATAAAAATCAGATAAGAGAAACCAAAACTTGCAATTGATCTTCTTCATCGGAATCTCAGCGTTCTTATAATCCTCCGAACCCGGGCGTTTGAGCTAGAAAAGTTTCTTGTACTGCCATGAATGCTTCAAAATACGATTGTTATTTCTCTCGCTGAGGAGAATATTATTAGCAACTGCAGTTCATTGAGCAGAAGGTATACGCGGATATCACACGTGTTTAAAAAGATAAGCTATGGAGGCAGATAGTTTTCAATCGTGAGAAAGATGCCTGGAACAATATAACTGAGATAAAATTGTTGATGGCTCATGAGACCTTTTTTTGCATCTGTTGCTGACGCAAATCAGACGACCCGACACGTCATTTATCACGAGAGCAAGAAGTGGTTATTTGTAAAGAAAAAGCAACCCTAAGTCTGTTTTCAACTAGGTGAAGTTTTGTTCATGGAGCTGAAAAACATCAAAGACAAATCGGCCATAATTAACCTGAAAAGTAACCAATCAGTCAACCCTTGCCTCGCTCTACAATATATCGGTTTTCAGCAAGGCCGCGTTTCCATGCAAAAAGGCGATACTGCCGTTTGCTTTCAATAAATGAAAGGTTATTACACAGCAATGATGCACTTTATGCTTCACTTCAATTATTTTTTTTTTCGAAGTGCTAGATCCGTTTCTTGGTCTCGTAATTAGTTTATACAGTTCTTGCAGGTCTTCCGCAGGTCTTCCGCAGGTTTCGCTTAGTCATAGTAAATAATTTTGATTCAGGATTTTACATGCAGCAGGAACTCTGCCCGGCAAACATGTATACAGTGTCAGTCTCGCCCTAAGCTTAACTTCATCTACGCATCATCACATCATCTTAAGCTCTACGTATATCATCGTATCCTGTGATATGGGATGTGATACAAGGGATATAACGTGATTGCAAACGAATAGCATACAAGGCTGGTATTCAAACTACCTTGAACGCACGCCCTAAATCAATACCTTTGCTCTCCGTTAGTTCAATTAATATATTTGCAACAAAATTATTTATAACTTCGCATCGAATTTTTGTTGTATAACAACTGCTTAAAATAGACCAGAAGGCAGAACACTTCTCGACGTTTGACTTAAGGGCCTTCGACATGCTAACTTTCTGACGAAGGCCCTTGGATCGAAAGAAGTGTTTTATCTATTTTAGGTACTTGTTGATTGTACCATATTTGATGCGAAGTTGTTTGAAGACGCTTCCATGCTGATCCCTAGCTATGTTGAAATAACTCTCGAAAGTGTACAGAGGAGTTTATAACTAGTTATGCGTGAGCCATCTGCACTGTTATACTTCAGTCGTTGAAAAAGAAAATTATATCAGAAACCCTAAGTGTATTTTACCCTTCTTTAAATACGAACAGTTTAGCTTTGTAACTATCGATTGAGAACCAGCCTGCTCTGTTACGCAGTTCAAAAAGCTTCATATTCTTATCTCAATTTAGGCGAAAGTTTCTGCCAAGCTAGGAAAACATGTGAGTAATATACTTTTTTTCAATTATCAGATCGTTTAAGTGTCGTCTGAGTGCATGCTCTCAGATTGTGATGAATGTGATCGTTAATTGTTTTGGCAATTCTCCGTATGAAATTACATTATTTCAAATGTAGAGTTTAGTGAAGGAATTTGGCAGGGCTTTTTATAAAGTTTATAAGTATTAAAGTATAGACTTTATATAAACTATATATAATGCTTATAAGTATAGATATTTTTGCACACACATGCAGACACGTCAGATGCAATAATTTTGATATTAAAGGGACTTGATGCAGAGGAAGAGAAATCTTCAGATATTTTTGCGAAGAAAAGGAAAAACAGCGAAGACGAGGCCGCTGCATTGAATCTGCTTCCAAAAGATGAGGTAGTTGGAAAATGATCTTTGAGAAACAGTGTGGCAGTTTCTGAGTTATAATATTTTTAAAAAAATCGTTATTCATACAACTTGACATTATACTAGTGAATTTCCTGATACCTGCTGGCCACATTTTTTTTATTATTTTTTTGTATGTTTTGTTCATTAACGGATTTGTCGGTTCGTAAAGTAAAATATAGCGTTCTCGAATGGAGGGGGTGGGCGATATATAATTTAAGGAAAAGTTGCCGAATCGTCCGAATCTAGGAAGAGCTCCAATAACCCCCTCCCTCCCGCTATAAGGCACATGCTCCGATAGAATACATGTACCTTACTCTAAAGAAATTACCGTATTAGATAAATTGTTTACATAGAAATAAATGGTGGGTTTTTTTGCAATAATAGTTGATGAAAACAACATGACAGATAATTGTGACAGCCCGTCTCGAAGTGATCGGAGTGTATTGGGGCAAAATGAAATTAAATTCATAAATTTGTTTGCTTTTTAAAGGTTGTTCATCGCCTTAGGGAAAGGGGTGAGCCCATCCGACTGTTTGGTGAGTCGGATCAAGAGGCAGCAAAGAGATTGAAGTAAGTAAAAAACTACTCTAAGTCGATTTGGTTTGGAATTGTGAAAAGAAACTGAGAACAAAAATGAAATTCGGACTTTTTCACATCGGCTCAATTGACAAAATAGAGAGCTTACCTACATTGTGTCTGTTTTTCATGGCTTACAATTCTGAATTATCCACGTTTGTTTACATCATGTCTCCGTTTTGAAAAATTATTTATGTTGTAGATTGCTAGAGATGTTGGCGCCTGACATCAATAAAGGTTTAAGAAATGATTTCCGTGAAGCCATGGAGCAAGTCGATCAAGACTATCTGGATGATATGTTGAAGCAACAGCAGGTACCATTGGTAGTTACACATGGATTGCACTGTTTAGTCAGTAATACATTAGGCAAATAAGACCCAGACCCACCCAGTGCTAAGTTGTAGAACGCGATTTTTTCTTTTCGAATCGAAAAGCTTGCTCTAAAAGAAATTTTAGAAAGCATTAAAAGAATAGAAGAATAGTTAAACAAATATAGAAAATAATAGTATGTAGCTCGTTATCACAGCTGGTTATTAAATATGCCTATTATTGATTTTGAAAGAATACGAGCACTTCAGACGCTGATCAGGAGAACATCATCAAAGTAAAAAATGACGGAACAACATTTGAAAATATTCAGGTAAATTCATGCTTAAAATCTGCACGAGACTATCCGATGTCCGCTCTAATATTCCCATATCAGGTTTGTTCATTTACCATCCAAGGCCAGTTTTACGGATAAGCCAATTCACGGAATAGTGTGAAAAATTGCTCCTGGTTTGGTTCAAACAAATTTAAATCTTTACTAATAATTGTGTCTATATTTCTAGTTTATAATCTCTTAATTTTTTTATCGAGGTTTGAAAATTTGACCATCCAGTTGATAGCGCTCTCCAGTTCATTCTATCACATTTACAAATAACAGAAGAAACTATAGTACCAACCGTGCGGTATATAATCTATGGTATATTCAATGCGTTTTATAGGAAATGGCAGTGAAGTTTGGCAAGGGAGACAAGAGTTTCGATCAAGAAGTTATTTATAAATTCCTTAAATTTCTCATGGATCTTTGGGCGACAGACTTGAACGACCGACCTCTGGAAGTTAAGAGAGGAATAGAGGTATTATCACCATGAGGGGGATGGAGATAAACGATGCATGTTTTTTAAATTTAAAATCTTTTAACCGAGGTTAAACATTCTTAATCATACTCTGTATGGAGGGGGGAGTAGGCGGGTTTGGTGAGAAATATTATACACTTAATGTATGCTACCGAGGGAAATAGTGAGTTTTGTTTTCCCAAGAGTCTGAATGTTTCCCGAAGCCAAGGGAAACATTGAGACTCGAGGGAAAACAAAATTCACTATTTCCCGAGATTGTGTACATTAAGTGTTTTGTTATATAAGAACAAAAACAGACATGTCACACAACAATTTCATTTAAAAAAAAAAACACTTTACTTTGTTATGACAATATGCGGGCAACAATTTTTCACTTGTTTCCCTGGCGGGAAACATTGCATTTATTTAAAGTCATGTGACTACGAATGAACCAATCACATTTGAAATACACAGCACCTATATAACAATAGAGCATATCCAGTCTGTGTCTTGATGTTTAAACAAGGCAATAATACCACTGACTGATATACACAGAACATGTAACTACCTTAACTATTCACTCGTTTACATCTATTAAAGAAAGGAAATCGCAGTAACATTCCCGCGCGACATTCACGATTTATTTAAAATTCCTGAAGCCACAGATTTATTTTTTTTATAACGATAATCGATAATTACTGCTTCTTGAACTTTAATTCAATGGCATTGTTTTCGTACGATAACTAATATATCCATATTTCATGCATAATAGGATTATAGGAATGAGTTAGTGATTAAGAAGTCACAGTATTTCGGTGCAACAGAACAACATGAAAACGAGAAATACAGTTTTCTTTTTAATCTATGTGTAATACATTCATGTTTGTGTCACGTGTAGGGTAAAATGGCAATGGCAACACATCGACAGACAGAACGCTACTTAAAACCTTTACTACGTAAACTCAAAGCGAAGGTAAAATTTTGAACCTCATTGCATGCATGATACGTTGTTAGGCTCTGTTTTCAGCTGTAATAAAGGCACTTGAGCGCATGTTAAGATCGATCATTGACGACGTGCGTACACCGTGCACATGATAGACATGTCTGGAATTAGTAAAGCTAGCGTTATCATTAACTGCGCCAAATCAACACTACTTACTGAATGCAAGATCTGATTAGACTGCCTGAAAATTATTGTGATAATCTCGGCATTTTGAGCAAACTTAGACTTTTCATGCTGGAAGTCTCCAAAGATTCGGGCAATACAAAGTTATCGGGTTATACCGTTCGAAAGAAATTTGTTAGAGAAAGAAGAGTTTCTTAGACATGCACATATAGCGCACCTTTCACCTCAAGCATCTGCCTATGAAATGATACGATGGTACCCCCCACAATCATGACTCATATTCCAAGGGCAAGGTTGACAAGAACCGATGTGGTTTTTTTATTTCATTTTATCTTTATCACAATGACATGCAGGGAGTCCACAAAAGCGGTACCTGCTGTTGCATAGTTTAATTGTTAGGGCTCTTCATGGGTTGGCCTCATCAGTTACTTAAGGCGACAACAGAATGTCAGCAGGTTTGCACTAAAGTTTGTAGGTGCCAGAGTGAATGGCAAAGCAACGAGTCAGTTGCAGTTAACCAGGCCAGTCTGGCTCGTATAAACAGCCCCTTGGTTCACAGAGACAGAGAGAACCAAAGTACTAGGAGACAACCCTCAGAGCATAGCCATAGGCAAAAAACCATCTTACATGAGTTAGTGAATCACACTAAGGGAGTACCAACTATGATCTCAGGGTTGAGTCGGGATCGTGGTTCACACATCAACCGGTTACTAGTGCTCTCAAGCTCGTAACCTGCATGCCTTGCAGTTCTTCACAATAAAATCATTTGTATTTCAGGCAACACCATCAGATATTTTAGACTTCTTGATTGAAATCATTGGCGCTTTACTAGAACGGGAATATGTCAAGGTTAGCCTGCTTTTTCTTGTAACCTGGTTATTGTGTAGGCTGATAACAATACTGTCAATAAAACTTTCTTTCCCTTACCTTTCAACGTTTCAAGCGCGCAATACGTTAAGGTAGTTAGTTTGTTATCAAACTCAAAGTCAGTCAACTTAACTGTAGTTGTCAGTGACAAGTTGTCATGTTCAGAAGGGATGTAGTTTAGAAGGAAAAAATCGGCAAGATGTCTTCACAAACAAATTCGTTGCTGAACAGTGTTAAACTGACTTTAATAATAAACTACCATAACGCATTGCAATTTGCACGATTGAAAGGTATAAATTATAAAAGGGCTATTGTAAGCGCTGGACTAACGTCACTTCCTTATGTTGACTAGATTATAAAACCAGCATTCCGCCTGCTTTTTATGCCTCTTAATTTTTCCAATACCCTTCTTTCAGGCGAATGACTCGTATCTTCAGATGGCAATAGGTAATGCACCTTGGCCTATTGGCGTTACAATGGTGGGTATTCATGCTCGAACTGGAAGAGAGAAGATTTTTGCCCAACACGTCGCACGTATCCTTTTGTTAATTTCTTTCTTCGTGACGGTTCACTAACACAAATTAAGTGTCTACTGACATAACAAGAAATTATCCCTTGAATTATACGTAGCTATGTTCCACTTCATCTGATAAATAAGCAGTTAGGTGAAAATTTTTTTAACCTAAAATTTGGATAGTACGAGAGAAATTAACCACCTTTGAAAACGCGGGTTATTACAGATATCATAAATATAAAGGAGACACTTTGTTAAAAACTACTTTTGAATTCTTGACATTCCACCAGATGTTCTTAACGATGAAACGCAACGGAAATATATTCAAGTGAGTTGTTTATAATATTTTGCGCATAAGTATGTGTTGATGATGCCATTCTGAAAATGGTTAGTTCTGGAAATGATTAACATTCTATTACATTTGTGTAGGCTTTGAAAAGACTGATGACATTCTGTCAAAAGAAATTTGAAGCTGATCCGTCGAAAAGCGTGGAGTACCACGCAGTGTAGCATATGTTATTAGGGATATTTTGAAACATTTTCCAATAAGGGATAGGTAAAAGTAAATGCTCAACCTTCAACTGAATTTTTAAACCCAATTGTATGTATGTCTTCCATGCACAATGATTCCGAGAAATGGTAGCATATATATAGAAGTGCTTGAAGTATCTCGAGGTCATTATTCATATTCTGTAAGATACTGTGAGTTATTGGAGAAAATTAGATGATTTAGATCTGTGAAGTTTCTGCACACCCCATTCTGGAAAACCTAATGAATATGTTACTGATAATATAAAAACCACTAAAAGAATCAGAACAAAGTCAGAACAGCTCCATTAGTTTATTAAAAGTTAACATTGATATGTTCAAAAAAATATTATGTTCATAAATTATTAAATAATGCAAAACCATGGGATACAAGTTTGGAAAATGCAAAGCATCCTACCACTGGGAAGACCCTGTTCAGACGTACAAAATTATGTACACATTATTAGAATTAATTAAAGGTTCAGGTTTGAATCAGTGATATGTCACTTTGATTTCACTAACAACCATTAAATGGTCTGATGGAAACATTTCCTCTGGTATCCGATTATATGTCAGTACTATCATATCTGAAAGCCCAACCTTAACTAAGGTATAAAATATTGCAAAACCTATTAGTAAATAGGGAATAAAATGTTTATACCCAAACCATCTTGGGCAAAGGATAAGTTTTCGTAGCAACTTAATCTGAGTGTGCTTTGCATATATACAGAATGCAAAGTAAAAAGCACAAGTTGAATAAACTATTAGAAAATAGTAAAGAAATAATATGATATTGTAATGAGCAGCTGTGCATTCAGTACATTTAGGTAGGTCACAGTTCAAGGTGTTGCCACCACCAACACATACACCACAGCGGCATGAACCATGTGGTCCACAGTCTGAATGACAGCTATAATTCACTTTGTGACCGTTCCATTGTCTTTGTGACATATGGGATATAGTTTTAAAGCGACTCAAATAATTCCAAAAGCTGTAACTGTCTTTGTAACCTTTACCATGGCCAGATACTGTTGTTTTAACTGGGTCTAACCCAACGCGAGACACCAGCACTCTATCTGGCCTGTTTATTAGTCCTGGTGATGGCTGTAAACAAAAATAATGAAAATTTATGCAAAAACAAAGTGAAAAATTTTTAGTCACAAGAGCTGGTTAGTTCTCAATTTGTAGACTTACCATATTACTAAAAGTTAATCCAGCTGGTTTATTTAAACTCGTCATAGGCCACGAGTCATCAAATCCATACCCTTGATTGGCACCAACTGGTTCAAATCCTACCTGTTTGGGACACCCATTTGGTAAAAAAAATCCATTTAAAACAGCCTCCACCGGCCACTCATAATTAGAGTATGTATTAAAATCCCCAACAATCACAGTTCTATCAGCACCAGTGGATGATATAAAATTTATCATCCGCATAGCATTTTTACACTGAAGTTTCCTATCTGTTGAAAAATGTACTACCATAAAAAATATTTCATGGTGTTCATATTCTATTTGTATGTGTAGCAACACACGTGGAGTTTGATCAGATTCCCCTGCTCTTGATAGTGGTATATGATGAGACATGATAATTGAATGCTTGCTTAATATTCCTAATCCTTCTTGTTCCCAGCCTTTGATGGCACCTTTGCCAAATCTATTAATGACTGTTCTTGTTGTGTGAAAGACATTGTACTTATACTCTGGTAGCAATGCCTGTAGCATTTTTACTTGATTCTGTTTGCCATTTGCATCTGCTCTAACTTCTTGAAAACCAATAATATCTGGGTTTGCTTGACGGATCTGAAAAGGATGTCAATAAAAATGTGTGTTACAAAAAATGCCTCAACTGAGTGTTCAACTTCCATGATAAATTTTGGACTGATGTTATTACAAAAAAAATTAGGATGAATCTACTTAACCTAACACTAGAAGTATTATTGTCCGCATAGTTTTACTTTAAAACTTTGATACATTTTGTGAAATACTTTTAACCTAAATATGTTTTTAAATACCTGCCTACCTGCCTTGACCTCACCAATGTCGCCATGTGATATAAATAAATAATCAACTTTAAATTATCAATTTTCAAAGTGAAATTTTGTAACAAACTGTATCAATTTACCTCAAAGTCAAACACTTCATTAAGTACATTTTGTACACAAATGATACAAATTAAGGCATTTCTGCATGCAAAAGAGGACAAATAAATGTTACTTACCATATCAGCAATATAATACTTTCTTGAATCCCACTGAAACATAACATTCCACAAGTTGTAGGTTGCAACAACCAAATTCTTCGCTAATACAACATTTTTTATTGTTGCAAAAAAACAAAGTGCAGAAAACAAACACACCCAGACCAATTTCATGCTATTTGCTCAACTTAAAGTAAAGTTACATCATAAATAGGAATGTATTATTGTGAAAAAAAATTTCTTTGTTCATAGTTTTTATGTACTGTCGCAACGGCTGAAATTTTCCATCGCTCAAAATGCGCCAGGTGACCAAGAATTTCAAAGCAGTCACTACAAAACCAAAACATTACTTGAGTAAATCAGAAGTCTCATTGTTCCTATAAACATCTGATTGTTCCCATAAACAGCAAATTGTTACAAAGTACAAACTATCTGAATCAGAAGAACTAATAGAGAAAGTTATATGGTTATTATGTGGTATTATGTGGTTAATATATAGTCATGCGATACTCTCGCGGATGGAAAATGCGTATCTTCTTAATTTTTTCAGGCAGTATTTTAAGCACAGAAACTGTTCAGGGTCTTTTGAAACTGGAAAAAGATACCCACTATTTAAAAAACGACGAAACTTCTTCATGTAAAAGCACGTCCAGTGGTTATCCTACCTACCCACTTTATGAAAGAATCTCAAGAATTTTTTACGATTGGACGATAACTAGAAAATGCGAACTATACAGCGACACAAAGAAATCAGAATTGCTAGAGGAATGCCGGAAATTACCAGAAAAACGAATTGCTTATGATTTTGTCGATGAAAAGTTGAATTCTTGCTTACTGACTGATGCCGATTGCACTAGAAAAGAATTGATTGTAGAAATTCTAGAGAATATAGGACTTAGAGGTATTTTAGATTTGCTTGGCATGAAACAGACAGTTGGAAGTGTGGATATGCTCCCACCCTCATTGTCAGTGCTGTGGGAATCATTCAAAAGGAAACACAAGTCAAATGCAAAGCTGTCTTGTGGGGCTAGAGCCTTATCAAAACATTGTCATAGAGACTGTACAAGCCAATGGTGGGGCAACTTAACAGGAAGTGAGAGCAACAAAAATGAGCATGCAAATAAAGTGCTAGACCAAATTTTGTTAGATGCAACATGGATTAACATCCATCTCCTTCCTCATGATATAAAGGTTCTAGAAGTTCGTAACCAGTTGGGTTATGGTGCTCGCTGGTCCTGTGATGGGATGAGTTTTAGAGGATTTCTTGAACCACAAATGAGTGATGGGCATAGTGTTGGATGGAGACACTGAACCTGGAATGATATGCCTCAAGCTTCTTATAGAAATTTGTTTCAGCTGTACATAATTATCATTTTTGAATATTTTCTTGATTATACCAACTTGACTGTAAAAATAAGCAAAACTGTTAAAACAATGAAATTTATTTTGAAATTTCTTCTGAAATTCGAAAATCTTAGACGCCGGAAATAATGGTGATGTATAATGTTTCTATAAGTGTGTAATGGTCTTAGTTAATTGTCTTAGCAAGCCTTCATTAAGCAGAGAGATGTTGAAAAGCACCCCCCCCCCTGCTGATGTTCATAAGTTTCGCAAACTCTGGGTTCAGCGCATACAACCTGCGTGGTTTGATTCATTGTGGTGAGGAAACGAATTATCACAGTAGGTTTGTCCACTTTCTCTACCTGTAAGTGCCATCCCAAACTTCGAAGTTATGTATTTGAAATTAAATCAAAGTTTGGATTTTATATGCAATCAATTGGGAATAACAATTAAATGTGCTCTTAAAATGGCAATAAACATGCTGTGTTTCTTGTTGTGGAATGAAAATTTAGCTACAGAAGAGTTCATGCAGGCTGATTCATCGAGATTATGGTCTATCATTGGGATATTACCTGTATTACCATACTGCACTGGTATACCCAACAATGGTGGAGTCTTCGTTCAAACTATCTCATGGATCAGTATTAATGAATAAGCTAAATCCACAATTAGTAGAAAATCTTGAGTTGTTTTCAATGTCAGATATTTTGAAATATGAATTTGAAAACTCGCAGGGAAAGTCAGGGGATTTATCCAGACTTTTGATTGACAGTTCTCGGGCTGAAGGCACTAACGAGAACGCAGAGTTGACTGTCTGAATGTCTTTGTCGCTGTTTTACTGCTGTAAGGTTGATGAAGATGTTTGCTGTTTATGAATGATTTCTGGTATTGTACTATTGTTTAATTCATTGCCTCCTATATAATGCAGAGACTGGGGAGAGTATTCAGGGGTTAATTAAGGTGGTTTTTAGTCGATATAAATTTTTTTTCGAACCATATCCGTTCCATAATAGTTTAATAACAGTATTTTTTTGTATGTAAAACAAAAATTTGGAAAGCGTGCCAAAAAAAAAAATTTGGGCAAAAACACCCAAAAGAGATCATCCAGCCTATGCCACAATCTAACCTGGTATACAACCGGCTGCAATATTCAGCATAGTTACAACTACGAAAGGTGCAAGGCGGTTGCTATAGGAAGAACTCCCCCCATAACTCACATCTTAACGGCCGTCTAAGGGGGAGATGCACTACGGCCCCCAGACCATGATGTATGTGCACCTAACCGTTACGTCTCAGTGAGAAACAGAGTATGCATCGCCACAAGCGTAGCGCGTCATAGACGAATCAGCTACAGTGGCTAGCCCTGAGAGCGAGGATAAATTTAACGTATTTAAGCTTTTCCTGGTCTCGGGGGGCGGTCCCTAACAAGTATATGCACAGAAAACGACTAATAAGGCACACGCTTGGAAATGTCAAGATTTAAACGCCTAAACGTTTTTAAGTATTTTTAGCGAGAAATTTATAGTGTTTTTTTCTTTTAGAAATTTTAGTATTTTGAAACAATCCTTGTTGGTTTTTAACGTCAAAATAGTCATCGTTCTCGAAAGGAAAGTCGATATAAATGAGTGAACGGCTTAGTTTTATACTAAAATGTTTTGTTAATTTTGTGTTTTGTATAACCGCTTGATTCGCGCCGGTACACTTTGGGCCTAAATTGTATGTATTTATTTCACAAGTTTTTATTGTTTATCTTCGCTGATTCTGTTCTATTTTCGGGGAATATTTAAGTCTTATCTTTCTTCTTTATTTCTTTACTAACTATCCATGATATGACGGTGTTGGTTTTGGTTGGATCCCTCCCTGGCCTGGCCTCCCCTCCCAGCCTCCCCTTTCAAAGGAAAAGTGCTGACTCAGTTGTTCCAATTCAAGATGGCGGACAAAGTGCAATTCCATCTTCCAACAGCGAGTGTCAGGAATTGAAGTTGTCGTTTTGTGGAATATTTGAGCAAGAACCGACTTCAAAGAGCAGGGAAACAGGGTCAACAGTAAACATCGATAGTAGATCTGTTCGATTGATCTTTAATCGGTTATGTTTGCGCTCTTTATATCTTCTTAAAAGAGATCTGAAAACTTAACACGAGTTCCCGTGTCAGATGGATCTGAGCGTGAAAGATCATAAAATCATCAAGACTGTTATCCAGTTTATTGTAGCATGGGTATTTGTCCCAGCCTTTTCGAAGGAGTAGGTGCAGCCTTTAAACAAAGAACTGGTTTCGGCGATGCTTGTGTGCTGAGCAAGAGATCAAGTGTCCACAAGGTTTGTATAAGTGTGTATATTAAACGGTCTTGGTTAATTGTCTTGACGAGCCTTCATTAAGCGGAGAGATGTTGAAAAGCACCCCCGTGCGCTGATGTTAAGTTTGGCTAACTCTGGCTTCAGTGTATAATACCTGCGTGGTTTGATTCATTGTCGCGAGGAATAGAATGGTCGCAGTAGGTTTGTCCACTTTCTCTACAAGTGCCGTCCCACACCTCGAAGTTATGTATTTGAAATTAAATCAAAGTTGGATTTTATATGCAATCAATTGGGAATAACAATTAAATGTGCTCTTGAAATGGCAATAAACATGCTGTGTTTCTTGTTGTGGAATGAAAATTTAGCTACAGAAGAGTTCATGCAGGCTGATTCATCGAGATTATGGTCTATCATTGGGATACCTGTATTACCATACTGCACTGGTATACCCAACAATGGTGGAGTCTTCGTTCAAACTATCTCATGGATCAGTATTAATGAATAAGCTAAATCCACAATTAGTAGAAAATCTTGAGTTGTTTTCAATGTCAGATATTTTGAAATATGAATTTGAAAACTCGCAGGGAAAGTCAGGGGATTTATCCAGACTTTTGATTGACAGTTCTCGGGCTGAAGGCACTAACGAGAACGCAGAGTTGACTGTCTGAATGTCTTTGTCGCTGTTTTACTGCTGTAAGGTTGATGAAGATGTTTGCTGTTTATGAATGATTTCTGGTATTGTACTATTGTTTAATTCATTGCCTCCTATATAATGCAGAGACTGGGGAGAGTATTCAGGGGTTAATTAAGGTGGTTTTTAGTCGATATAAATTTTTTTCGAACCATATCCGTTCCATAATATGTTTAATAACAGTATTTTTTTGTATGTAAAACAAAAATGGAAAGCGTGCCAAAAAAAAAATTTGGGGAAAAACACCCAAAAGAGATCATCCAGCCTATGCCACAATCTAACCTGGTTATACAACCGGCTGCAATATTCAGCATAGTTACAACTACGAAAGGTGCAAGGCGGTTGCTATAGGAAGAACTCCCCCCATAACTCACATCTTAACGGCCGTCTAAGGGGGAGATGCACTACGGCCCCCAGACCATGATGTATGTGCACCTAACCGTTACGTCTCAGTGAGAAACAGAGTATGCATCGCCACAAGCGTAGCGCGTCATAGACGAATCAGCTACAGTGGCTAGCCCTGAGAGCGAGGATAAATTTAACGTAAAGCTTTTCCTGGTCTCGGGGGCGGTCCCTAACAAGTATATGCACAGAAAACGACTAATAAGGCACACGCTTGGAAATGTCAAGATTTAAACGCCTAAACGTTTTTTAAGTATTTTTAGCGAGAAATTTATAGTGTTTTTATATTCTTTTAGAAATTTTAGTATTTTGAAACAATCCTTGTTGGTTTTTAACGTCAAAATAGTCATCGTTCTCGAAAGGAAAGTCGATATAAATGAGTGAACGGCTTAGTTTATACTAAAATGTTTTGTTAATTTTGTGTTTTGTATAACCGCTTGATTCGCCCGGTACACTTTGGGCCTAAATTGTATGTATTTATTTCACAAGTTTTTATTGTTTATCTTCGCTGATTCTGTTCTATTTTCGGGGAATATTTAAGTCTTATCTTTCTTCTTTATTTCTTTTACTAACTATCCATGATATGACGGTGTTGGTTTTGGTTGGATCCCTCCTGGCCTGGCCTCCCCTCCCAGCCTCCCTTTCAAAGGAAAAGTGCTGACTCAGTTGTTCCAATTCAAGATGGCGGACAAAGTGCAATTCCATCTTCCAACAGCGAGTGTCAGGAATTGAAGTTGTCGTTTTGTGGAATATTGAGCAAGAACCGACTTCAAAGAGCAGGGAAACAGGGTCAACAGTAAACATCGATAGTAGATCTGTTCGATTGATCTTAATCGGTTATGTTTGCGCTCTTTATATCTTCTTAAAAGAGATC